AAAGAAAGAAAGAAAGAAAGAAAGAAAGAAAGAAAGAAAGAAAGAAAGAAAGAAAGAAAGAAAGAAAGAAAGAAAGAAAGGAAGAAAGAAAGAAAGAAAGAAAGAAAGAAAGAAAGAAAGAAAGAAAGAAAGAAAGAAAGAAAGAAAGCAGCTGAATGCTGACTCAGGCACACGCATTCATTGGGTGAATAACACAGATACACTTTTCTAGCCAGTGTTTAAAGCTCATCTTTAATCTCTCTCTCTCTTTATCTGTCCCTCTCTCTCTGTGACACACACAGACACACACACACACACACACATGCCCACTGATGCTGGTGTGAATCTTTGTCATGGAGTCAAACAGCTTCGCAGTCACTCTGATGACTCTCTCTGATGTAACATTCCTCTGGATAATAACATAATTATAGCGCGAAATCAGCGAACGCCTCCAGCCTCAGACATGTCATATGCACACACACACACACACACACACACACACACACACACACACACAACACGCATGCATGCAAACACCCATAAGAGTTATCTTTGTGGATGTCTAGTCTTCCTGTCATGCAGTGAAACATTATTGAAATTTTAATCAAAATAGAGCCAAAATAAACACAAGAGCTTTGCACTGGTGGGAGAAAATGTTTAAGGTTCTTTACCAAAGATAAAGTCGCTATAAGGACTGCATCTTTGTGTCTTCTTCAGAAATTTTCATTTTGTTTCCTTCAGTGGTTCTTAGTCCAGCGCCCCCATAGGTGAGGAGGGGAACAGGTTTTTAAAAGGTTTTGGATCGTTTGACGTCCTTAGTGTTGATCTGAATGTGTGTTTGTCAGTGTGCAGAGCAGGACAGGCAAATTGCCACAACTCACAAGGCTAAGAAACAGACAGAGAGCCGTTGTGTTTGCACACCTCGTGGGCACTGGCCTGCCTGTCTGTCTGTCTGTGTGCAATGATGGTGATTGTGCTCACTTTATGGTTGATATTTTGCTGAATGAAAGGCTATTTGCCAACAGATCCCAGTGAATCTGCGTCACACAAACACACCCACACACACAGCGTCTGGGAAGTCCTGAATGTAGCAAAAAGCTCAGCAATCAGAGTACGCTGTTCTACGCTGATGTCCAAGAAAATGGGATTAGGCAGGAAATTCATCCTGAACATGAGACACAACGATGTGATCGACATGCCGAAAGCAGAAAACCAGGATGGTGAAGATGATGTGGTCACAGTGGCATAAGTGGGAAAAGGGGGAGGACAAACTCCTCATACCTTCATCCTAACTTCAGCATAAAAATATTGTTACACTTTTTAGCTTTATTGTCTGTATTGTTTGAATTTATGCTTGAAATAGTTGTTCTTATGGAGTACCTGCCGTTTAGCTTTTTATTTGTTGCTATAGTTGGAGAATTGAAACAGCCTCTAAGCATGACACTGCCACCACCATGCCTGACAGATGCTCCATTGTGTGTTTTTGGTTTTTTGCCTTGAGTCCTCCACACATACTTCAAACATACTTGTACAATTTGTGCCTAAAGTAAGAAACCACTAAATGCCATTCAGTATACAAAGACAAAATGTTTGCTGACAGAGAATGGGTATTTTATTTTAAAAGAGTTTTGTAAATCAATGTGTGGATGATGAGCTTAAACAAAGCACAAATATAAACCATCTTAAAAACTGTTCAAAAAGAAGCTTATTAGGAAATAATATACCTGTCTAAAAGAAAAAAAATGTGATTGCTGATGTGAAAAAGGAATAAATGATGGTATATTTAAGGATGATAATGTGAGGTTTATGCATCATTTGATGTGGAATGATTTAGTTTATTTTTGTAAGTTGATGAGTATGAGAGGAGCAGGGAATCATAAGGTCTTGTATCTTATGATTATGTAAAATTGTACGTCAATGGATACAATCATTTGATTTTTTTTTCCTGTTTTTAATTTTTGTATATTCAAAATAAATAAACAAAAACCAGTCAACAAACCAGTTTGAATGAATTCTAGTGATTCTCCCTAAAGAGGCATCAAATATTTAACAAGAATTTTGCCAAAAGCAAAATCATGTCTAGAGTAAAACTAGATGTAGTTGAAGTGTAACGTTGTTGGATGTTTTATCAATTAAAGCCCAAAATGAACACAGACTTGAAGTGCATGATGAGTGGGTATGAATTTCAGAAAACGAAGATTTGATGGATTCACGTGGATTTTTCGTTTAGTTCTGTAGGAAGTGGATAAAAACGTAAATGAAATCATTGTTCGAAGGCCTTTGAGTTCACTTGAGGCTGTAAATCTGAGTGAGTGACCCGAATATTCAAATAGGTGCAGAATTTTTTCGAAACCAAAAAGAACAGCGGAGCTTTTGCCTTCGATTTCACTCGACTTGTTTTTCTTTCTGTGCTGCAGTGTGTGAGAGCTCCAACGTCTTTGTATGTTTCTCTCAGCGAATGGAGATGTGGGGGTTGACATGGTTCTCTCAGAGGAGGAAGTCTGTGGTTGGGCCGTTTCTACATATTTTCCCCTTATGAGCACACACACACGTACACGTGCACACAGCCACATACACATGAACGCATTTTCCTTGTCAGAGCAAATGAAGCTTTTCTTTAAAAGCATCGTTCAGCCTCACAGATGTGGAAGCCATTTCTCCTGCTTTTACACACACACACACACACACAGAAAAACATTCATTCGAATAAACACAAAACCCACAGTCTCTTGGGGTGCGGTCTCCCCTGCAGCCCCGGTGCACTGTGGGTAGCTGTGGTAAAAGAGGTCCTGTGAGAGGCTGTCCAAATATAGCCGGACCTAAAATGCAGGAACGTGGAGTTCTTCTCATGCTGTGCATAAAAATCTGATAATCTGTGTTTGTGTGTGTTTTTCAGGAGGAGTGTTTGGTTTCGGTAATTCAGTCCTAAATATGTGTTTACACAGATAAAAATATTATCTATAAACTGTTGAGGCCTGAGAAAAACTGAGCTGCTCTGTCACAGTTTGCAGATTTACGTTCAAATACATTTGCCATTTCTTATGCAACTTGTGTGTTTTGCTTCTGACAGACTGTCTGGCTCCATTCTGGCAAGTTAGGACATAATGTGACTTTGAACTTATTGATGACTTCTTCTTGTATCTAATTTTTATGCGTGATGCTCAGATGTAAGCGGAACATTGAGCTGATCAGCCGTTCTGCATCCTCCATCTCAAATCTGTTGGACAGTCACAGTAAACTCCAGGGTTTCAACACATGACTGATCTGGGCCTTCTTGGTATTTGCAGGCTTTAGGGACCACAGCTGACTGCTAGCTTAGCTCCATAAATACTTTCTGCTTTAAAAAGGCTTGTAACCAGTTTTAATAGGTTAAACACCAAATTTTCCCCTGATACACAAAGTGGAAACTCTTTTAGCACCGAAGCTAATATCTGTCTTCACTCACAGCTAATCAATATCAAGGAAAATAAATGCCTATCAGCTGACTTTTGCAAGGCAAAAGTCAGCTGATAGTGCATCAAGTAACATTGTGCCAAAGTATTTCAACTTTCTAAGCTGTAATTGTTTTTTGAATATTTAAATTTTCCGCAAATAGGACGATTTTCTGCAAATAATTTGGAGTTATGTTCCAGCCACAAATCCATAAATACTGAACCGTGAACATGTGGTGGTCAGCTGCATGTAGGCTGGATCTGAAGTGTACAAAATCACAAACATTCAGAATTTTAATTATATAAGTACAAATAAAATCATATTAAATATATACAAGCCTATCATATCTGCATGCACAGAGTGGGTGATGTTTTCTTAGATTGGTGTTCGATACTTTGTGGTTGCCCGACTATTTCAGGCTCAAATAATAATATTCAAAAACAACAGACTGAATTGAGTGGATCTCCATCAGTGCAGACAGAGCGTCTGCATGCTGTGAGATTAATGGATGTCAACTTTGATTATTGTTGAAACATCTGATTAGCGTTTACATATGTTTAGTTGTGATCCTAACGCTTAGGAGGATTCAGCATGTACTTGAATATTTCTGCTTCAGAAGGCAGTATTACATCTTATTTTGTTTTTAGATTCTCCCACAGAAGGCAAGTCATCATTAAACTCAAATTTGAGCATCTTTTGATGAGGTTAACTTTTTTTTAAATGCCTTTCTACAGTTTTTCTCTGACTGTTCTTGACTGAATATTTTCTCTGTGTTTTGCGAAATGTTGGGACACAGTTTGGTTGTTTTTACTGAAGCTGAGAAATTCAAGCAAATCCAAACAAAGAAATGGTTCTGTGATGGTGCAGATGTGTGTGGGGCTTCTCCTCCTCCTCATGTAAACACACACATACTGTATATTTACTTTGCTTTCCCTCTGGAATTGAGCCATAGAGTGAGTAATACAACCTGGAGAGCAAAGACAGACATAGTCTGAACTGACCTCACAGCACTGCTGAATCAACAAAAAAACACTTTATAAAAACAAAATCCATCATTATCTGAGTTTTTCCTCTTGCTGTCCTTATTTAATCCAGATGAAGACAAAGCAAGGCAGCACAGGGTCAAACAAGAGCAGCTGATTTTTTTGTTTTGATATTTTTCTAAAATCTGAAACCTGAGGCAACACCACAGTTTTGGTTTTTAACGAGCAGAGAAGAGCCTGGAAACTGGAGGAGAACGTGCTGGATAGATTAATGCTCCGTTTCTCTCCTTTCCTGGAGCAATGGTTGTAAAAAAATAAGCATCAACACAAGAAACATGTCTAAAAAATTTTGTTGGAAATAAAATAGTTTGTTCTGGCTTGTTTGGTTTCCCACCAAACACGAGTCGGTTTCCAGCCCCGTGTTTTACAACCGCTTTGACAAGAGATTATTGCAAGAAAACGCAAGTTTTCTTGCGTTTTCTCAGACTTTCTTGGTTGTTTACTTTCAGAAAATCTTTTCTCATATTCTCTCAAATATCATAAACCAAACCAGGGATCAGAACCACAACCAGTGAAAACATGGTGTCTGTGTCTCTGTCTGCTCAGGTCTATTTAAAGGCGCCGATGATCCTGAATGGGGTTTGTGTGATCTGGAGAGGCTGGATTGACCTACAGAGGCTGGACGGGATGGGATACCTGGAGTATGATGACGAGCGAGCACAGGTAGCAAATCCTCAACCTCACTTTTACGTTTTTCTGTCCCAGACCTCTGGTTGTTTTGAAGTTTGATCACCTCCTGTTGGTTTTGTGTCCAGCACGAGGACGCTTTGGCTCAGGCAGCATTTGAGGAAGCGCGGCGCAGAACCAGAGACTTTGAGGACAGAGACCGATCACACCGAGAGGATTTAGAGGTGAGGAGGGTCTGTGTGTTTTCAGAGGTCTGGAGTCTCCCAAGACAAACAGAAATTAAAGAAACGAGTAAATTACTGTTGGATTTATATCCATGAATATCTTTTTGTTTGTTGACTCACGTAACCACACCCAACAAAAAAGGCTGAGTAGTGTCATAAGTATGTTTTACATCCTGTTTTGAATAACATAATATAAAATACAGAAAGTTTGTTTCATTTGAAAGTTAAATAAGATGAAAATAGATTAGAAAGTCTTGTGAATCCCCTCTCGTTGTGTGTACTCTCATGAAGCTTGCTAATCTGTAGCAGAACTCTGGTCCATTTCGTGTGTTCTGGTTGGGTTTGCAAGACTTTGACTAAAAGTAAACCCAGCTTTCATCAGGCTGTGAAAGCTTTGCAAAGGAACAACCTGTGAACGGAACAACCTCAGACTTTAATGCAAAAACAAAATTGCATTAAAAGTGCCTTAATTAAGTTATTTGAATGTCAAAATCATGCATTCATCTATAATCACATGATAGAAGGTGCACCAGTCACATGAAGGCAAGATTTAAATTTTGGGTCAAATCAACTGTGTAAAACTCGACAGCCGCTGGCCAAATCTGGCCCTCTGCACTCAGGATGGCCATAAATAGACATTTAAGGTAACAATTGTGTGCTTAAATATTACTTTATCAAATCAAAGTAAGTTTGTACCGCATATTGCTAAATTATGTAAATTTGAAAAGCGTTTTATAAGTACTTATCTAACCAAGAAAACGTAATGTTATTGCTAAATTCTGCCACAAACGGCCCTTTGAGAACATTCAACACCAGAGAGACGATGATATGTGTGGCAGAAAACAAACTGCACTTCACCCTGAACCCAAAGTGAAACATGGCGGTGGCAGCATCATGCTGTGTGGAGAGGGATGTACCCATATACAGAAAAATCCTGGATGAAAACTTGTTCTTGTATTTTAATGTAATCTATATAAATTATGCACCACTTTGAGTTGACCTATCTCATAAAATCCCACTAAAATACACTAAAGTGATTGTAATGTGACAAAATGTGAAAGTGTTTCAGGTCTGAATAGTTTTGCCTATATATGTGTCCAGACAATAATAAAGCTACAGCACACCTTTCTTTGCTTAGCGCTTTGGTGGCTCCGAGTTGTGTGATGTGTGCTTGTGTGCCTTAGCTTTATTTCATGAAATTATTCATATTTTTTATTCCAAATTGTAGGTTTAGTGCATGATCAGTTTGACTATATAATCTCATTACATTTTTTGAACTATTGAATGACTGATTCAGTTTTTGTCAGATGCCCCAAAAGCCTCAGAAGGGAAAGTAGTGTACATAAAAAATAAAAAAAACATGTAACAATTTGGATTCTTTTATTCAAAACTGTGAAACTTCATTTGTTTTGAAATATGAAGTGTTGTTAAAAGTGTTATGTTGTACGATTTAAAAGCCACTCTCTCTGCATATGATTACCTGAAGTCACCTCACTTTCCCAGCAAGGCTTTGGGGAGATCAGAGGCATCGATGCGAAGCTGACGCCCTTCGAATGAACACCAAATTGTTTATTTTTTTAGGACCCTGTGGTTTCTAAAATCTGGGACTGATGACACACAGAAAGACAGACAGCCAGCAGAAAAGAACAGGGTCTGTGTCCTTCACTTCTCAACACCTATCACACTGTCATGCACTAAACCACCTTCTGTGTCTGCATGTGCGTGTGTGTGTGTGTGTGTGTGTGTCAAAGTGCCCTGTTCGTGTCTTTGCATTCATGTTTCTGTTCGTTATTTCCCATATGTGTGTGTTTGTATGTTTGCCTGTTTGTGTTCAAATTTGTGCATGCATTTATGTATGTATGTGTATAAAATTTGCTTTTTTATTATGTTGTAAATAATTAAATTTAGCTGAAAATTAGGCCATTTGATGAGAAACAATACTTTTTTTGTTTTAACGAATGAAAGAAGTGATGTTGCTCCCTGAAGGTCATTTTTCATCTGACTGGTATCATGTTTCTTCCCTGAGGCTCAGAAAGAATAAGAAAACCTTTCTTACATCTAACCAATCCATAAAACCAGCAGCATCACCTCCTAAAAAATTCTGCAGTGTGTCAAAATCTTTAGATTTGGTGCAACAAATTGCTTAGATGCACATTCAGCATCTAACTATGGATAATGTGTCTAAATTGAGGCTGTTCTCATCCATCCCTGAGTGCATATGGCGTCCATCGCCGACATGCAGCGATTTAAGGTGACATTGAGCCAACATGGAGGTCAAGAGGAGGAAGACCTTCTGAAAAATATTAAATTACTCCAATAAAGATAGATGTTGCACTCTGACTGAGGTAAAGCTAGTTCTGGTTTAGCTTGTGCAGCACAGGCGTGTCCTTTGTAGAGCCCAAAGGGTAAAGCTATTACTGGAGAAATGACAGAACGGCTCTCAGAGGTCTTCCTATTTACATCAGGCCCACTGGAGCCGTAAAGACAACGGTTGAAAATAAAACTTAACCCCAGGCTATTCCTTAGTGTTATAAGCCTACACCTACTCTATCTACCCTGTGGCACGTGATTACATTACTTTGAGTGTGTGCAACATCAGCTTCACCCACATAAAAAACACCCCCTCTTTGCTTTCTTTGGGCTTAACAGGAAAAGTAGCAGCCAATCGAATGTATCCGTTAACCATTTTACAAGTCTGGCAGTAATACTGAATGGGTTTGGCGAGACAAACCGCACAAAAAGAAGTGATGAATAAAAGTTAATTATTGACTTAGCAACAGTGGTAATTAGCTTTAAACATAGGGCCAGACTGGTTCTGTGAATAAATCATATCACCATTTAAAACAGCTCTTTCTTTTTACTCATGTAATTTTGTTTCATATTAAAATTCGTTTGTTGATCTGAAACATTAATGTGCCAAAAAACAAAATGGAGAACAAATCATTTTTCCCAGCGTTGAGTTCACCATGAACCCCTCTGTATACCAACGTGTTTTATGGTGAAATATGAGATTATCTGAAGGTAATCCCAACTGTAACAAACATAAATACAAACACAGCAACAAATTCAAAATAAAAAGAAAAGATTTAAAGTGAAAGTCCAGACCTGGCTGAAATGATGCAGTGGGACTTCATGAATGTTGTCCAGACAAGTCAGTGAATTAAGGCAACACTGTAAAAAATCATCAGCAATTAAGTTAACAGCTGATAAAGTCCTACAGAAAACAAATCAGCTAAAAGTTGTTATGTATGTTGTTGCCGGTACTTCATTTTTTTCTCTGATCTTTCCGACACAGCAGGCAAATCCGATCCATATCCGACTTTTCATGGCAGTCTGAACGGACCGAGTCCGATCTTTTCTGCCCCAGAAATTCAGATGTGGTATTAAATCGGATGTTTATCCAATAATTTTTCAATGTGCACGTCGCCTTTTTCTGACTTTTGTCCTGAGACATGAGTCATAATTTTGCAACAGAAAAAAACAGATGCGATTTTATATATTATAATTATGAAAGAAATCTGTGTCAATCACATCACAATCCCACCACTTCTGGTTCCAACTACAACAAAGTTCTATACAGAAGTTCCAGTAAGTTGCAGTTGTGCTTCTGTTTTTCTTAGCTTCATTCTATGATGATTGTGACGATACTGTCCAATTCTAGCTCCAATTGCTGAATAACTTTAAGACTGAATGACCATTATTTCTTCTGCAAACAGAGCTCAGACACTTTTTCGCAAACCTGTTTGTGATGTGAACAACTAAGCAAAAAAGAAAAATCTGATCTGAGCATGGAGACCTGCTGTGTGAACGTAGCATAAGTTCACCCTGGACTCTTGTACGCGAGTGTCTTAGAGTGAGCCAACCAGCGACAAATATTGGTAAACATGTTTCTGCATTTTAAAGATCAATTCTTTGGTTTTGTTCAAGTTTTTAAGTGTTTCAGCTTTTCTCTGTATCTTATTCTTTACTGATAAGCATTCTTGTTTTATCAGTTAACTTTATTAACTATTTGTGATTACTTAGCAAGTGTGAGCATGCTAAAGGCTAAAGGACCGAATACACATCCTAGAGGAACTCCTGTGCTCAGTCTGACAGAGCACTGGATCTTACTGGCTTCTATCTGGACTTTTTCTCACAGGAAAACCAAACTCGAGCTACAAAGTGAGAGATGTGGGATCATACCGTGAAAAGAAAATAAAGAAATCGTGGTGAAACTGATTTTCATCTTCAGAAGGGGTAAAAATCCCTTCTGAATTTTTTCTGCACAGATGGTGTGCAGGGAATGTCTTATCGCTTCATCTATAGAGCAGTTGGAACAACAAGCAAACTGTAGATGGTGGTGGGAGTTTGGCTTTAATGTGTCCCATGACTCAGACATTCAAAGGCCTTCATTATAACAGCAGTCAGCACCAGAAGCCACCAGTCCTAAGGAAGGTTATAGAAACTTTATCAGGTACAAGTGTCAAAAAAAAGGGAACGAGAATCTCATATAACTTTAAGAACGTTTAAATACTAATGTCTATTTTTGGTTTTTGGACTTAAACATGCTGGAATTAATATGACATTTTAAGCTAATAACAATATAATCTCTGACATTAGAAAATCTAAAGCTGGACACAGAAGAATTTAAATGTTAAATCACATCAGGATTTGTTATCCAACATAATAAAACGAAGTAGATGGGTTCGGAGAGTGTTACAGGAAGATTCTGCAGGAAGATCTGCTCTGAGTTTCTTCTTTGGGTGTGACTGACGAGTTTTGCTGAATAGTTGCGCAGATTCGGCCTCTGCATTTCTGTGGTCTGCGCTCCACCTCGCTATGCGTCTCTGTTCCTCTGTGACTCTCTGTGTCTTGTTAGCGGCTGATCGAGTTATCTCTGCTGTTTGCTATTCAAAGACAAAGTAACCCTTTCCATCAGAGGAAAGTCAAAGACAGAGAAGCAGATTTGCTTTCGACCAGAAAGGCAATAATTGATGTGGTCTTTATTTATTTTCTGCTTTCCTGCAACCAGCAGATTCCCATCAGCAAATAGCATTTCATATGCAAATTTTATTGCAACATCTGATAATATAAATGCTCATCATACCAACCAGGAAATCTCACTGATTACTGGCGCTACTTTTCCATTCCCAGAATTTTGAAATCTTAATTTCTCTTTTTTGTCCAAGGTTTGAATCAGGACTATGTTGATAAAATAAGCTTGATTGTTCTGTAGCTCAAAAATGTAGGTCAAACAAATTATAATGTTTGCATTTCTCTTTGAAGTAGTTGGATTGCATAATATGCAGAAAAATTCAAGAAGTTCTTTGACTTTTTTTAGACTTGTATTAAAATATTAATGTCACTTTTGCTTACTAAAGCAGAAGTCTTGTCATTTCAGCAGATTTTTCTTTTTTTTTAATCTAAAAGCAGTGATGTTCCAATCAACCAAGGTCAGAAGGTAGCTGTCATAGTGATAGATGGTGAAGCTATAGATTAAGGTGAAAGCTTTTTAATTTCACTTTATCCTCTTCAGTAAATGTCGTTCTTGCTAAAATATTAAGGCTGAAACTATTTAAACATTCAGCAGTCAGGTACCTAAAAGCTATTGGACCCCCTGAAGTGTTGTAGATTTTCAATCCACATGAATATAATCAGATGTAAACACACACACACGCACCTCCAAGCACTCTGCAGAAAGAGATTTGTCCATAAATGATGAGCTGGCACTGAAAGCATTAATATATCATTAGTATTGATTGCTATCAGACCCCCCCATCCATACACACACACACACACTCCAGTTCACAAACATATTCAAACGCTTTGCAGGTGCACAAACCTGCAGAAACAGCAAATCTAGTCCGATCTCGTCATGATGCGCACGCACATACATACACAAGCTTTGTGAGTATTGAGCTGCAGTTAAGCGGCCCGTCGTTGGGCTGCAGGCTTCCATTTGTGTTCGGATCAATATGAAAAGCTCTCTCAGGCCTCGATGATTAGCACAGACCACTCCCTTCTTCACAAACACTCAGACTCTCTGTGTCACATTTTAATAAAGCTTCACTAAACTCAGCAGACAAACACATGTCATTGGCTTCTACCTAATGCTTTTAGTACTTCTGCTTTCCATGAATCCTGAAGAAAAAAAGATCCCTGAAACCACCGTTCAAAACAGCTGAATTATTGATGCAAAAAAAAACAAAAGTTCACTTGAAATTTTACAACTTTTTAAAGCATTTATTGGAGACAGAAACACAAGTTACAAACTATCCACATGGTTTTATTTTTCCAAATTCAATTGGGAATGAGGTTTCCATTCTGTACGAATGTATTTTACTTTTTAGACAGAGAGGTTTGCAGACATTATTTAAGTTTTCAGCTTTCATTGAGTTTGACACTTTTTCCTCTCATTTTCAGTTCATTAGCTGGAAGTTTAGAAGACAATCCAATTTTGTTCGTTCACGTCATGAACCCTTCAGACATTTTAAAGTCATAAAGACCCAAAAATATAATTTCAGTTCAATCACACCTTCCAATTGATCCAACACGGCTTATTTGAGCATATTTCAGCTTCTTTCTTTACATTTTGTCACATTTTTATAGGAAGTGTTTGCTTTCCATAATAGGGTTTTTATTCTGATGGAGACAGTAGTTAGTAGATTTGGTTTGCTTTTTTACGGATGTACTGTGGTAGACTGGTGATGATTTGAGATCTGGGGATTTTTTGTACAAATGGATCAACCAGAAAATCTATAGAAGAATGTCTGGAAAATTGAAACTCAAACCAGGTTCTCAAGCTAACTGCATTTCATTTCAAATGTAGAAATCTTTCCATTGTGTCAGTGTTTACTAAGCAAAGATGGAAAAGATTATGAAGTTGAGAACTTTTCCCAATGAAACCTGTGCTCCTAAAGACATCCCAGTCAAACAGCCTCAAGTTTGAACACAGTGGAGCTGCAGCTCAAACCTCTCCTCAGTTTATGTGAAAATCTGTGAAATCTGGAAGATACTTTTACTGTTTGAATCTAGAATGTCTTTCTTTTCATAAGGATCAATATCATTGGACTATAGATGAGGGTCAAACATAAACACAGAGATAAATTGAGAGCTTTGTGTTTTAGCGCAATACTCTTCACTGCAAATAGCATATTACACTTTAAATAAAACAAAACTACCTTACAAGTAAGTTTTATGCAAGAATTTATTTTAACAGAATTGATATTCAATTTAGTAATTCTTGGATATCAATCAAATATTCTGGATCCCCTGGCCGAATGTTTCACTTCTAACTTGATGTTTTAAGTAAAAACTTTTCCAGTGGTACCAGTACTTTATAAATGTTCAATAATTATTTATTTTAAATAAGCTCCTATATCTTGCTGAAAAGTCACTTGTAAGTTAGATATTTTTTCTAGAAAATGAACCAAAAATACTTGGTAAGAATTTGCGTGATGCAGAGAATGACCCCGTTTTTCTTCATTTCTGCATCTCGGTTTAGGTTTTCTTAACTAAGTGTTGCTGTATTTATCTTATGTATTATGTATTGCCCCAATTTGTTCTCCATCTTCTGCAGCAAAAAAGAAAAAGTCAACAAATATCAACATAATACTCTGCTGAACAATTACAAGTTGTTTGTTTCAACTCTGCTTTGATCCAGGAGTCATGTGACTGTAACTGAGCCACATGTGAATATCTGAAAGCAGCAGTTTTAATTAAACAACTGAGGAGCCAGTCTGGCTGTGCAATGAAAATGGAAGCATGACATACTGTACGTATGCGCGCGTCTGTGTGAATGTGTGTGTTACTGTGTGTGCATGTGACTGCAAGTGTGTTGCTATTACGGTGAGTCACTGAGATGACACAAACTGCATTCCTCTTGAGCTAAGCAACCCCTCCACTATCTCTGTCTGCATTTCTGTCTGCTCCCGGCTTCACCTTCTCCCGCACCTTCTCACCTCTATCACCCGAGCCGTGCCAAATCCCCCCAGCCGTCACTTCAGTGTAAACATACAACCACAAGTATTTTTGTTACGGCAGCCGAGGGTCATACCATGGCCTCGCAAACACTATCTCACCACACCGAGTCAGGAAATATTTTTAAAAGTCTTCTCATGCTGACGGCCTCTGTTCATGACCTAACGATCAACTTTGTGTGTGTGTGTGTGTGTGTGGGTGTGTGTGTGTGTGCGTGCGTGCGCTGCGTGTGTGTGTGTGTGTGTGTGTGTGTGTGTGTGTGTGTGTGTGTGTGTGTGTGTGTGTGTGTGTGTGTGTGTGTGTGTGTGTGTGTGTGTCGGCCTGCAAGTCTGCCAGTTTATGTGTCTGTTTGTCTGCCTGCTGCTGTATTTGTCTGTCTACCAAATACCTTAACTAAAATAACTTCAGTGTGTAAAAACAGGAGTAAGTGATGCGTTTAAAAGCTATTTTGGCTCCATCTAGTGGCAAAAGAGGGTACTGCAAATTCTTTTATGCTTAGTTTAGTTTAAATTCAGGAAACATCTGCAGTATGCAACTTTTATACAAATGAAAACAATAATAATAATAATAATGATAATACAGACCTTTGGGCACTTAAATAACTTAGAAACATCACAATATGTAGGAGAAAACATAAAATACAGAAACCCTTCAGCTGTGAGTTTGACAATGTCTGATTTTAACTAGGATGCGCAGATTCATCATACTGTTGTGATATAAAAATGTCTGCTGGAGCTCAAATATATAGCTCCCTGAGCTACTATTACTGTCTGAAGAAATGCAACAGAAACAACCAGTCCGAGCCCAGAGGAGAGTCTTAGCGCTGTCAATCAACCTTATGAACACTCTGCTTAATGTGCTAAAGGAAGAGAAACAAATTACTTTTACAGGAAAGCTGTTTATTTGCTGTCATTGGAGGCTATGCTAATTAGCCTTAGCATTTGTGCAGGCTATGCTAACTGCCATGTCGCAGATAGCAAGGGGGAACAGTTTCAGTAAACATAAAAAAATTATTATAAAAGTTACATACTGCTGCTTTAATGCTTTGTATTTTTATAAATTAGTCAACATGTGTGCCGTTTTTGAATGCTGCACTTAATTTATTGTCTTTTCTCTTTAATCCTTTTTTTTTTTTGGCCATCATCCTCTTTTATTTCTTGCCCTCCTCCTCCTCTTTTCCTCCTTCATCCCTCCATCCCTGTCTCTCCCCAGTCCAGACGACAGCAGGACCCCAGCCCTGGCTCAAACATGGCCAACGCTGACGTGGAACACAAGATGCGCTGAGGATGGAAGAAGGAAGAAAAAAATGGAAACTGAAGCAGTTTGTTTGTTTGTTGTTTGATTTCAACGCAGTCAGCATGAGACCACACTCATTGGCCAGTTGTTTTGCATTATTCCTCAAAACTGATATATATTTCAAACTTTTGAAATCAGACAAAAATGGAAATACAAAATTAACAAAAACCATTTAAAAGAAACCAAAGACTTAAGCAGGAATGTTTGGATGAAGAAGAAAAAAGAGCAGTTATTGAGATTTTGACTTAATTTAGAAAACTTATGCAAAACGTTGATAATGAGAGAAAGAGGAAGAGGTGAGAACAAGAAGGAGCAGAGAAAAGGTCGTTGTGGCTCAGGGTCACGGTCAAAAAATAAAATAAGGTCTAACGTTCACAGCATGAATCAAAATGAGGTTTCAACAGTTCATGATGTTAAAATCTATATATATGCATTTTTTCAGTGTTTCAACAACTCATGTTTGCTGATATGCTTGTGAAAAACTTCCATTTTATCAACTTAATTTCTTAAAACCTGCTGTTTTCTGAGACCAAAGTTCACTTTGCTGGAAGAAGGAAGGGAGGGATAAAAATAGGAGACTTAAAAAATATAGAAAGGCAAACCAAAGACATATTTACTCGGCTGGAGGGTTAAGAAGTGTTTGCTTTGTGTAAATTTAGATTTGTTCAAAACATCACAGGTTCTGTAGCCACAACCTGAAGGCTCTAAATATAGAAACGGCTACAAGGAGGAGATTTGAACGTCTTTCGTCTTCCGAGAGGTTTTGCACTATGTGATACAATCAGTCTTGATCTCCACATTGCTCGTCTTTTTATTGCATGAAAACAAATATGGGGCTTCCTTTGCTCTTCATTGCTTGTATCGCAGCCTCTTTATCCTAGGAGTGCTCTTTGCTGCTCTTTGATCAGGAACAACTGGGTGACTCAAACTCTGGTTTTCAAAAAGGTTTCAATAAATAAAATCTTTTTACTTCCTTTTTATTATTCTAATGTAAAAACAAAGCTGCAGCATAATACTTCCTTATGGTATTCAGAATCATTAAAAAGAACCTCAACACAAAATTAAAACTTAACGGTTATTGTGGGGTTATGTAGAGTAGCTATTGGTAGTCAGAATAATCGCAGGAAGGAATCTCAGTTGACTGTTGTTGGCTTGCAGTTTTTGCTCAAATTAATAACTCTCAGGGTTAGGTGGGTGGTAGGTGGGTGGGGTTCGGGTTAAACATTAAGGATTCACCTCAACTGTTTTCAGAAACTCACCGCTTTCAGCTGTGCAGCTGTTTCCACGGCACTTTGAGCGAAACCCAAACTCCTAAATATGAAAATACCAACCAAAATAATTTTCTGTTTTAAACCAGTTCCGACTTGTAAACATTAGCAAGTATAGCTGGAAAGTTTTCTGTCGGGTTTTAAATAGGTCAACACCCGAGATTGGTATTTATCAGTGTCAGCAGCTCTCTAATACCAACCAGGACAAGGAGCTGATACTTTATTGGATCGAGTTTACTCAAATTAAGCACGGTTTTATTTTCACAATCAAAAATTTTGGCTCTTAGTGATGTTTAGTCTGACTTCTGCATTACAAGTACAGAGTGCCATAAGTGCCACTTTTGTATATCTTAAAATTATTAATGTAAAATTGGAAACAAGCATTTGATACAGAGATATATGTTCAAATATTTTGGAGACAGTAATGGAATAAATACTGTAATGATAATTAAACCTAAACTTTGAAGCACTTAAAATATTATATAATGTTTGTTATGGTGTTGCAGTTCATCATGAAATGTTGACAACTTTCCATCAAAGAGACTCTCACCTCTGATTGGTTAACTTGAGCAGTAAGTCAACTTCAGATCAAGTTTTTAAAAGGTTTGTCCACCTCACTGAAAAGTATAATAAATGTACAATGTACTGAAGAATGCAACCATCAAATTAGTAATTTGATGGTGAAATGATGCTTTTTGTAAATAACACAAAAGAAATATAGACTAAACATATTTGGATAACATAACTTAATAAGTTATGTTTTGTTTGTAACTTGAATTAAATAATTAACAGTTTTGGTAATAAATTAAGGATTTCCTTTAGTCCCCGATTAAATAAAATCTTCCAAGCTGCAGCTCAAATATTGTTTACTCATATCAAGTCATCACAACTCCTATTCAGAGAAAATATTCACATTAATCACAGTTTGCTCCTACAGAGAACTGAACTTATGAACCAGTTCAGAGATGCATTTAGTTCCCGGACGCCACGTCACCCAGATGCTCCTCGTCTTTGCAGGGCCGTAAAAGCCTGAATGCAGTTTGCTTTCCCCTGTTCGGTTACAGCACTCGTCTATTGAAGCCATGTGTTTTCCTGTATGTCGTCACCTTCCTTTTGTTGTGTGAAAGTCAAGATGTTTACTTTTTATATTTCTCTTGTCATTAGGAGTTTTTAGTTCTTTTCTCTGCTTAGACCTGAAGCAGCTGCAGAATATTTTATGTAAATCAAAAAAAAGTTTTAAAAAAAGAAAAAAAAGGCATCTCCAGAGAATTGGGAGGTTTGAGGACTTTTGTTGCTTTTTTATGTACTCTTTATTAATGATTTTGTATTCTATTTTTTAAAATAAATCCACCTGAATGTGGATCGAGTCAAGTCCTGTAATCAGAAAATGTTTTACACTTTGTGAAATGAACGGTTGTATTGCCTTTGGCTCCTTTAAGTTTGACTTATTTAGATAAATGCAGACTCATCATGGTTCTTGTACATTTTCAGCATTTTAATGAGCTTTAAAATAAATTAAACAAAATAAACATGATAAGCTGGAGTTTGGATTTTCAACCAAGTTTCTTCAGGTTCTCTCTGCAAACACAGCCATAAAATCATCTCAGGGTTCACAACAGAAACAACTTTATCTGACATAATAATACTTTAACTTTTAAAATGGTAAAACTTATTGGCTCGATTGTGTTCTTTCTTCTGGCAATCAGCTGATTTATTCTCAGCTGGTTCAGTAATTAGTAATTAGTCACAAATGTTTTTAAAATCTTTTTTTCTGCGTGAACCTGCAGGATGAGAAGTGCTTTTATGGTTGATTGTGGTGTTTTTAAAGGAAGTAAAGGAGAGAATGTGGATATCATTGCGTGAGTTAAATGTATAGAAATACAAGCTGAGTCCATTAATTAAACTGGAATGTTGATTACGAATTCTCTAACATCTCATGTTTAGAGAATAAATTATAATGTTGCGCAAAAGAAATATAATGAGGAGGGAAAAGGTTCTTAATAAGCAATCTTTTCTTGTGATGATTTGGTCTATTTAAAGGAAATTTACTTGATTTATATTTGAACAATGAGGAATTCTACAAAAATAAAATCGAATAAGAAAATTTTTCCAAATTCTCTGAATTAAAGCTTTGAGATTTAGTGATAAAACCTGGAAGAAAACTGAGAACTCTCCAAAGGAAAAAAAATTACTTTTAGGTTTAAGAAAAATTTGAAACTCAATCTTTTCTCCACCATTGCACCAAGTGAACTAGAATAAAAAAACGAAAGCATCGAATCCATCCTTTCCTTTTCTTAATGCAGGCATTAAGTCAAACCATTAAAATATCATTTTCTTTTCTACATTATCTGTTACTTTTTTAACTTATTTATATGTTAGAACAACTTGGATGTTTTGTAGCTTGAGTAAACCTTCTTGCATTTCTCTTACTGTTTGTGTGCTCTGTGTTTTCATCTACTTTCATGTTGAACTTGTCCTCTCAGAGGAGTTTAACATATAATATGAGATATTCATTTCAAAATGTTGATTGTTTATCACAATAAATGTGTATCAGTTCCTCTATTTGTCTTTGATGTTTGGTGTTTCCTTTTAGCATTTTATGTCCTTCTTGGACTTCGTATTTTTTAAAGTAATACCAATATATTTATTATTTTATTTTTATGTACAAACCATAGAAAATTATTTTATAAATATTATATATGTAACATATATAATTGCGTTTATCTGGATTAAATATGTAAGCATATTTATCCATAAGTAATAAACACAAATTATTGAAAATGTAATGAAATAATCATTTATCATTTTTGATTATGAGGTTTCAGATTTTATTATTTATTTCATAACATAACATAATAAGCAAGTACGGATACATTCCTCATTTACATCTAACTTATTATTTATGTAATATTTATTCAATAAAGACAGTATTTTACTGAAATATTTAAATGAAATAAGTATCTAACTTATAGATACAGACCCCTCTATATATCAAGTTATAGTAAATTATTATTTTTATTTTTTTAATAAAACGGTATCCCAAGTTATTACATGTATAAATATTAATATTAGTTTTTATAGATGTATTTATAAATTAGAATAGTGAACATTTTACCCTCCATATTACATCAGGGGTTACGAATATTAATATGTTTGTTTTATGGAAGTAAATATGTGCCATCAGGATTTGAACAAAAAAATGCCTCTGGCACATTTTTACTTCCATACTTTCCTGCCTATGCAAAAAAACACACACACACACTTAGCGACTGTTTAGAAACGTGTGAGTGACGTCATCACGCCAGCCTTGGACGTTCTTTGAGCACAGGAAGTAGAGCTATCAGCTGATCCCGCTGGCTGTTGTTGATGTCTGAAGTTGCTGTTGTCGCTGCGTCTCTCTCTCGTCGGCCCTCGACATTAACGGACTCGGTGACACGCTGAGAAACGTGAACGGCAGCGGCCATTTACCGGGCGAAGGGACGCGTCACGTCGCTCGGAGGTCTGAACGTGCGTCCCCGGCGGGCAGCAGCGGAGCTAGCTCCTTAGCTGAAGGGAGAAAAACAGCAGCGGCAGCCCACGACGTCTCTTTGTTTCAATCCCAAGCAGGATAATAACTTTCCCTCGCTTGACTCAAGTATTTCTGTTTGCATATCCGTTACTTATATTTATAGTTATATTTAAAAACCGGGACACCGTCAGGGGCAGCTAATTGGTTTGCTAACGTTAGCTTGCAGTGCAGATTAAAAACATTTTTTGATTTTTTTTTTTCCCCCCTTTCGTAACCGCCCGAGATTCACAGTCTCTAAACATTGCGGCTGTATTGGAAAGGGAATCATCATCAGAGCTGATATGTGTTTGTTTTTCACTGTTCCATCTGTTGAACAAGTTGAACTGATCTCTGCTCTGCAGCGTGTGTCAGGTTGTCTTTATTGATTTCTAGAGTTCATAAACAAACTGTTGGTTCACTGACAGCTTCGTCTTGTGTGTTTTAGGTTTGCTGGCAGGTTGCGTCATTTGTTTATCCGCAAGCTGTCAGTCCGTGCTGGATATTTTTGCTGTTTTTATGTTTTAAATAGTTTTTCCATAGGTAGAAGAATATCAAACACTTTTATACCTCTTCTTTGGAGCTGATTTTCAACCCAGGAAAAATATCATGAGATAAGGAAGGAGCCGCTTTGATGCTCATGAATTTGGCAGCTTGATAGTTATGATTTAAAATAGGACGCTGAAGGTGCATTGGGAAGTCGCTGTGATCAGGGAGAGCCAGCAGAAACAGGCAGGGTCCCACAGAGTCTTGAGGTGAGGTGAGCTGCCCCCACACTACTTGCCAATGCTGGATCTGGAAGTGGTGCCTGAGAGATCACTAGGAAATGAGCAATGGGAATTCGCCTTAGGTGAGTGTCAAACCTGAGAACCAGTTAGGATGAAGCCATGTGACAATGTCACTGTCTCAAGAAATTAGGATGTTACTAGATTTATTTCCACAATTTAATTCAAAAGAGAAATTAAAATAGTCTTATTACATACAGAGTGATTCATCTTATTTCTGTGAATTTGTGATAATTGCCTTAAAAATTAGAAAGTTTAATTTAGTCGCCTTCCTAAAATAATGATGTAATTTTTGCCAAAATAATGACATTTGCAGAAAAAAGAAAATTGCCAACTGCTTATTGTAAAAAGATGATTTAACCAAAAAAATTTTGAAAAATCACTCATGTCAAAAACTGACTCAGATGTTATTTTAGGAAGGTGACAACAAGTGTAGAAGGTTTTTAGCAGAAAAAATGTTACGTTGTCTAGTATATAATTTCCTAAAGTTTTCAGCTTCTGACCCTCAAATTTAAAATGTCAAAGGATCTTGATTCTGACTCTTGGTTGTACATTTAAAATATTTTGCTGAGTTAGTTAAAATAAACAAAATTGTTATCAGCAGACATTGTATTGATCAAGAAATTGCTCTTATTATTATTCATGACCAATATAAAAAAAATCTTTCGCAACATTTATAGACCCTTCAGTTATCTGTGACCCCAAATGGGAACCCGACCCCAACTTTAGGAAATGCTAGTGTAGTAGACAAGCTTATGTCCAGAATGTGGGTAAACCGATATTTTAAAGTCAATGTCTGTTCATGGAATGCTGAACAAAACGTTAAGAAAAAAAATTTTGTTTAAAAAAAACAACAAAAAACATGCAAATACGACAAGAATAACTGGAGCATTGAAAGCTGTTCCTATTCAGGAGTTTGGTGGCAATTCACCAGATTAATTTTTTTTTTTTATGTATTTGGCTATTGTTTTGTGTTTTTAAAAAAAACTGGATTGGGAGTTTTAATCTATAAGCTGTATTAACCAAAACCTGTAATAAAACTTGACATATCAGCCAAGGAGCCTATATAATGTACAAGTTTTGCTTTTTTGATTGAATTAATTGAAGAAATGAACTTTTCAGTTATGTTAATTTACCTAATTGTACCTGTCTGTCTGTATACAGCTTAGTATAAATTGCTGGTCTCGTTAAGTGGCTTGAGATTACATTTACTTTGAAATAAATGGCCTGAATCAGCAGCAGTCAGATGACTCCACTGTCAGGACTTTATGACAGTATTCCCCTCTTACGTGTGCATCTCTTTGTTTTTACAGGGATGCCATTTTCCCAGGCCATCTCTATCCTGCAGAAACACTGCCGTATAATCAAAAATGTCCAGGTGCTATACAGCGAGCAGGTGAGCCAGCTGCAGCTCTGCTCATAGGGCCTCTGTTGGTTGTGTAACCTTAAAAAATGTTAATCAGCTTGCAAAAGAATTTGGCAGCTCTGGAAGTCTTGCAGACGTTTCTGTATTTTCAAAAGATTTATTTTGAAACTAAATCTTTGGTACAACTGTAAGCCACATCTACTGCACTGTTAAAACCACATTGTCCAGCTTTCAGTTATTCTTTCTCATTCTTTTTGTTTATGCCCACATTTTCATTGTCATTCCAATTCTAGTTAGTCTGACCTATGAATCATTTCAGTTAAGTTGAAGCTTCTTGTGTGACTCTATGCCAAAAAATGACACATCCCGGCTTATTGTGCTGTTCATTTAGAAACATCAAGAATGCAAAAAAACTATTAAGTTATTAGGCCTAAGAAACATAAATTACGCTTTAGGAAACATTGTTTTACTGTTACCTGCATTTAATACCCCTTTGGTACAGAGAACATCAGTTTCTACTTTCCGTCATTCAATTAAATGTGTCAAACCTGCACAGATCATATTGGGGAACATTGCAATAATCATGTAACAAATAATTAAATGTGTTTCTGTCGAGGGTTTACAGTGAACAAAGAACCCCGATAATAACTAGTTTATCAAGCTTAGCTGAACAAAATTGGCATAATGCTTAAAGCTAGATTGCTTGTTTATTTGCAGCTGTTATTTTGTTGTGTGACCTGTATTTATATTGTTCATCGCTTTCCATTTTGGACTCTGTAACTAAAATCTGTGAAAAAAACAAACATCTTGGGCATTTCAATCAATTGAATGAAAGAAGCGACTAACAAAAACAGTTTATCACAAAAAGTTTTACTTTTGTGAACGCAGTTAATGCAAAGGAAGAGACCAAGGGAAGTAAAAAGCAAGAAAAATGTTAATGTTTGTATTAAACTACAAACGAACATCCTATGACTGGGATTTCCCATCATCCCTCCAGACACCGCTCAGCCATGACCTCATATTGAACCTGACTCAGGATGGGATTAAACTGCTGTTTGACGCCACAAATCAGAGACTCAAGGTGAGAACGGCTCGTTTAGCACTGATATCAGACTCCCATGTCACATGCCGCCTCTTTATTCCTGGCTGGATTTATGCTTTTACATATTAGGTGATTGAAGTGTACGACCTGAGCAAAGTCAAGTTGAAGTACTGGTGAGTACAAGGATTTTTACAAACATGATAATGTTAGACTTCTGCTTCATCCTACATCCATAAGTAAGTCGCTCTCGTTGGTTGGTAATAAGTCTGAGCTATAAAATCCAAAAGGCCACTTTCATAGCTCAGCCATCGCTCCTTCTGAGACCCACAGCTGCTCAGTCATGTCACAGTAACTGAATCTGCTTGTGTTAATGTATCTGTTAGATTAGGCCTCTGTTATTGTCTCTTCCTGCTGAATCACTTCCAGTTGCTCTCAGTCGTTCTTTCTCTAATGCAGCTCTTTGCTGTATGAATGCTAACTGACCTAACATGCTGTGTTTGTGTGTGCTGTCTTTTAGTGGAGTCCATTTCAACTCTCAGGCCATCACCCCCACAATAGAGCAAATAGACCAGTCATTTGGAGCGACTCATCCTGGAGGTACTTAATAACAAAGGTTTTATTCACAAATAAACAACTTTTAATGTAGTTTAATAAACATTGGCTCCTTTTGTGCAGTTTATAATGCTGCAGAACAATTGTTCCATCTCAACTTTCGAGGACTTTCCTTCTCCTTTCAACTGGATTCGTGGAATGAAGCTCCAAAATACGAGGTAAGAATGGACCAGTTCCCTTCAGCCAGAACAGTTTAAGCTGTTTTAAAACAGTCTAAAAAATAGAGTACACTAGCATTCTTCTAGTGTACTCTTTTTTTCTAACCTAAAGGCAATAAATACATATTTCTGTACAGTTTTGCCTTAATTAGTTTGCTGAGTGTTTTATTCTTTCTGCAAATGACCGTTTTGAAGTCTGTATACTTGAGTTAAAATGAATGAATTCCATCTGTGATCGAATAATCATAATTAATTTGATTGTCTCTGATATGTCATAAAATGGACATTTCATGTCAGAATAACTCCTGAATGGACAAATAAAATGTATTATTTGCTACATCACTACGAATTCAATCTTTCGTAGCTCGTAAACATTTTATATCATGCGCCATCTCACTGCTGTGTTGTTATTTCATCCTTTCTGCAGATTCCACATGGAGCCATGGTCAAGAGGATGCACATCTACACTGGCAACAACCTCCAAGAAACAAAGTACGTAATGACCACAACTCTTCCATGTGGCCCAGTGACCTTCCTGCTAGAGGACATTAAAGCGTTTACGTTAAATCTAGTCTGTAGGCAGCAGCAGAATAAGTTTTCTAACCAGTTCAGACTGGAATGTTTCCTGTGTTTCCTCAGAGCTCCTGCGATGCCGTTGGCTTGCTTCATGGGCAACATCTTTGCAGAGTGTGTCGACGTCCTGAGGGATGGGGCGGGTCCTCTGGGGCTCAAGCTCCGCCTTCTCACAGCAGGTAACACACCTGAAAGACTCTGAAAATGACTGACTGTGTCAATCTGCTGCTTTTTGAAGCATCCAAGTGCAAAAACTCTTCTAGTGGAATATTATGTGGAATATTTTATTAGTTAGAACTGACCCTTTATTTGGTTAAATGGATTCGCAGACAACAGGAATTCAGTTTTATAGTTTATGAAAGTTTATAAAATTGATTTTATAAAATATAAAATCAGTTTTTAGTAAAGTTCAATGAAACTTTGATTATTAACAGTAGCAGAACCTTCTTGATTCATTTACCTGTGCAGTTTTGGATTGGAGTTCAGTGAATATTTTGTTTATTAAATATTCTAATAGACATATTATCTAATGATACTGATAAATACTGCATTAAACTGAGGTTTGAGAAAAACAGGACTAGAATATTTTTGTGACTTACTTGTGTCTCCCATTCCTGCTGCAGGTTCTGGACTCGGTGTGATGGCTGATGCAAAGGTCCGGTATCTGGAGAGGAGCATCTTCTTTGGAGACTCCTGTCAGGACGTTCTGGGCGCTTTGGGCTCGCCGCACAAAGTCTTCTACAAATCTGAGGATAAGGTCAGAGCTGCTTCTCTTTTTGAGAGTCTTTTGAATCTGTGTTGCATTCACTAAGTAAAATGAAACTTGAAATAAAAATGTTCACCTTTTCCTGTGTTTCAGATGAAGATCCACTCTCCGTCTCCTCACAAGCAGGTTCCCTCTAAATGTAACGACTACTTCTTCAACTACTTCACCCTCGGAGTGGTACGTGGGCCCAGCCAGGCTCCAAACCTTTAATGGTTTTGATACTGTGCTTATTTTATTCCATAGATTATTTTGACAATTATTCACATAAACAAATTAACACATTCTGCAGATTTTCTTTTAACTTATTTCATACAATATTAAAAATACAGTTATTGTCATTTCAATAATCGATTAATCTGTTTCATTGTTTTAGCCTTAAAATGATTCATTAACAAAACATTTTAAGACGTGACCATCCCAGCTGGTGTCTTTTGGACAACATGAGCCTGCGTTGCTCCTCTCTGTCATTTTGGGAGTTAAACAGATGTTTATCCGGTGACCTTTGCGGGTCACTGGCTGAATTCCCCGGAGCAGTTTGGGAAAGTAAACAAGCTGAACTCATCCGGTGCTACTGTAGAGATGAGCTAAAAACAGCAGCACAACACGACTCTGTGTGAGGCTGCAGGGCTGCGTTTATCTCCGTTTACCCTCCGCCACAGGTTGACTGCAGCTGATCGATGGGTTGTGTTGTGTTTCAGGACATCCTGTTTGACTCGACGACCCACCTGGTTAAGAAGTTCGTCCTCCATACGAACTTCCCTGGGCATTACAACTTTAATATGTAAATATTTTTTGTTACCACCTCTTCTATATCTCGGCTTTAATCAGATTAATCCTTTTGTTGTGGAGTTTGATGCGACTGATTATTTCTGCTGTCCCAGATACCATCGATGTGACTTTAAGATCCCACTACTCATCAAAAAAGGTGGGCTGTCACTTGATCGGTCTGAGTTTTAGTCTCTGTATTTGTGCTTTCTTTCTTCAACCTGTTGTTGTTTTCTGATTCCTCAGAAGGAACAGACTCTCAGGCGGAGGATTGCATCTTAACCACCTACAGCAAGGTCAGTTATGAGAAGAAAAATTAAACAATGCCTCCTCTGGAATATTAAAAAGGCTTCTGTCAAAGTTTGGATATTTTGATTTTAAGCTTTGTATCCTGTTTTATTTTTTTAACTACACATTAAGTCGGATAAGTACTTTTAAGAAGTTCCTGATTGGGCTGGAAAGCTGGTCTTAAGTCAGTCATTCCTTAATAGTGATTACGGGTCATTTTATCTATAACAAGACAACTGGAACTTTTCCATCAATATTAGAGGAATTATTGACCTAAAACAAAAGTTATTGTAAGTTGGTTTTGTTTGTGTACTACCATTTGCTCTAGAAACTAGACCAAAAATACGTGATAAGGTTTTGTGTTTTTGCAGTGTAGATTGTTTCTGTTTTTAGAGTAGCATCTTTAATGTAGAGTCCAGTTAGTCTTGGACAGATATGATAAGCTTTTGCAAAAATGCCTGAAGTGCTAACACCATAATTTTATAGAAATAAGCATAAAACTATTAGATCTATTTTAATTTAAGCAGACAAGCAGTAATTATTGTTGCGAAAATAATCTGGTTTCTACAGTGATAATAATGCCACCTGTAATTTTCACGTAATGCTTTTTCATAGACGCTTAGAATAACCAAACTGAGTAAAAATTTTATCACCATTATCTTTTAATAATCCTTCAAAACTAAATTAATTAGATTTTGTGCAAAGTAGTTTATTTTCAAAGCATCTGTCTGCTGTGTCCGTTAAGAAACTTTTAAATCTGGTACAATGATGGCTTGCTGAATTTTCTTCTATTTATTATAAGCAGCAGCTTTTCTGTATTTGTTTCTAAAATCTGTTTTGATGAGGCGTCTTTGTGTTTAGTGGGATCAGATTCAGGAGCTTCTGGGTCATCCGATGGAAAAACCCGTCGTCCTTCACAGGTAAACACTCTGATCATCATAATTTCTCAGAACAGAGTCATTATGGATGACAGGAAGGATTTAAACGGATCGAAGGTCAAGTGATGGCGCTCCGTCGATATTATTCTGTGATATATATCTCATCTTTTTATTCCTGCCAGGTCTTCATCAGCCAACAACACAAACCCGTTCGGTTCCACTTTCTGCTTCGGACTACAGAGGATGATTTTTGAGGTCAGAATTTTCACAACAGACAAATTTGTCTGGAAACAACTTGGATCAAGTTGCAAAGATAAAGAAGCTCAACTTGCATCCTGTTTTTTTAAAAACTACACATTTAACTAGGAGTGCACTCATTTCCTTAATCTTGAGAGACTGGTGATCAGTCGATACTTAGATATGAAGTCGCTCTTAAGTACCTCAACAAAAGTTTAAAATCAGTCACTGTCTTCAAGAAAAACTTATACTTCCTTGAACAGGTTAGAATAGATCTATGGCCTATACAAAACATGTTCTTTACATTTTTAACACAAAGTCATTGTTAAACATTGAGATTAATCTGGTCAGTTCTGGATGTTTTCAGAATGAGATGTTTTAGACTAAAAAGTCAGAGTTTTATTTATTTTATTTATGTTTTGGTGGCCCTAATTGTCTTCTGTTCCTTCCAGATTTGTGTCTATTTTGTTTCCAGTCCATCTATCCCAATGGCGGTTATTTTCTAGGGAGGAACAAAAAGCCCAAAATGGTTCTGATGGTTCTGCTGGTTCTGAACCTGCATCCTGTCTCTAACGCGACCCTGATTTCTTCTACAGGTGATGCAGAACAATCACATAGCATCAGTCACCCTCTATGGAGCTCCCCGGACCACCAGTCAACCCCGACCCGAGTCCAGCGCGAGTTCCCACTGAACCAGAACCACGCCCCATTCTGGCCGACCCAAACAACAGTTCTTTTGCTGACTGAATTGGAACCGAAACCAGATTTTTTTTTTTTTTTTTTTTTACCTAAACAGGCCTGGCAGAATCACTACAACCTGGCTCAGGTGCTTCAGAGTGAAAAAGTCGACATCAAAACCAGACCTGCTGCCACCTGTTTGGTACCAGCATGCGGGGTTCTGTTGGTACCAAACTCGCCCCGTCCTGCAGGGACGCGGTCCTGCTGCGGGAGCAGCTCACATGCTTCGAAAAGAAAGCTGTAAAATCTGCATCCTGTGAACCTCAGAGACCGTTCTGCTGCCTGTACAGTGACAGAAGCTTCATGCCATCGTGATGCATTCGGGTTCATCGACGCTGCAGGAAAACATAAAACTAATAAAACTACATCAGCCAACCACACTGCCATCCCGGTCAGTCCTGCTCGTCTTCCTGCTTCAAGACCGCTCCGGATCTGGGTCCAGTCCAACCCGTCCAGTCCTGCACCATGAGCCCAAACACACTTCAAGCTAAGCGTCCATTTCTGTTTTAAATCACAAGACCCAGCCTGACCCGATCCAAACATCTCCATCTTCACTCCCCAAACACTTCCTTGACCCACCTGAGTCCGTTTGCAGCCGTTTCATCTCATTGCTACAGACTTTACTTCCCATCATTTCAACCCGACTGTCACGCCTTTCTGATGAACGGCGGCCGGTTCAGACGGTTAAAGGTCAACCCGCATGACTCTGAACGAGAAGCGATCTCCAGAAAGCACAACAGGAAGTGCTCTCGCTTCGTTCGGTTGATTAAAGCTACAGCATGTCCCTTTTATTCAGAATGTTCTTTTTTACGTATTTGTTAAAATTATCAATAGCTTGTGACAGCACAATATAATGCAGATAATCTCTAAAAGAAACTTGAACTTCTCTTACTTCTGCCTAAGATCTTTGTCACCTGAACACACAGCTCCATGCGAAACAACCAATCAGAGCCAGGAGGAGGGTCTTAGCGCTGTCAATCATCCTCACATCCTCCGCTTGTTCTCTGCTAGCCTGCCAGAAATGCTCAGGCTAGTTAGCATAGCCACAGATGATGGCAGATAAATGGATTTTCCTGAATGGTAAGTTGTTAAAGCTTGTACATGATGTGTATTGACAGCACTAAGAGCCTCCTCCACCTGATTGGTTGTATTTTTAGATGACAGTAGTAGCATTGGGAGCTGGATCTTTTCACAGATTATCTATCTCATATTAAACTGCTACAACATGGCGACAATTTGAATTATTACGTTAAAAAACAACATATTCTTGTAAAAGTTACGTACTGCAGCTTTAACAACCTTCCTGCATGCTCTGTCTGGGTGTCCAAAGCACATTTCTCCCTCACCATGACAACCATTTCCATTGTGTAATAATCATAATAATTTATTGTGATTCCTATTTTTGTTTTTAACATTTGCACTAATAGACACATTTTTACTTGATCGTGCCCCATCCTTTGAGATGGATATGTATTGAAGCGTAGGAGGGATGTGTGTGTGAGTGTGTGTGTGTGTTGGTGCAGATGAGCGGCGCCGCCATCGCGTTCTGTACGACGTTTCGTCTTTCTTCAGTGCTTTCTTCCGTTCTGATCCAGCTGCAGTTATCTCTCTGTTTAGTTGCCAAATGCTAAAGCCAAAGACCTTTTAGGAAGTCTTCATTTCATCGGTGTGTTTTCTTGTCTTGCAGAGTCAAATATTCCTAACTCCATCTTAATTTGAAGACGTGGTACAGCTTTTAATCCGTGTTTCAGTAATGATCCAACATGACCAGCCGACTCAGCTCATCCGTTCTGGATAAGTCGCATCGTGTTTACCGTCAGCTCGTACCGTGGTCGACGTCCTCAGTGAACTGTGACGTAGAGAACAGCCGTCATTTCTGTGGTTGTCAAACCGACTTGTTTTGGAAATGCATCAGTCATTTCTTTCTCCCAGCATGTAAATTGACCTTGTTTTTAATTACAAACTAATTAATAAACTGTGCATTCATTTTAATAGACAAATTCTCTCATTGTTCCTTGATGCAAGTGTATTTTCGTTTTCCCGCCTTTTCAAAATATTCGCTTTAAGTACTGTGCCTTTAACAGAAAAATCCGCTACCCTTGGATTTTTCCACATTTTGTCAAGATACAACCACAAACTTTACTGTTCCTCTACACAAACTGCTGTTCTTTCTTTAAACGACTTCTGTGAATATAAGTCTTAAAATCTTGCCACAAATCTATTAGATTTAAACCTGAACTTTGACTGGACCATTCTAACACGTGAATTTGCTTTGATCCAAAGCAAATGTCTCAAAAACAGCTGCGTTTCGTTACAAATGTGTGCAAAACTTTGATAGTCCGCTAATGGAAAACTCTACTCCGTTGTTTCCATTAAATAAGAAACGCAATGAAAATCACACGTGATGAAGTTTGTACAGGCTACGAGTAATTAAAAAAAGCCTCATCATCCTCCTACCACTTCCTGTCTTCCTCTTCGTCTTTTCCGTCTGTAGTAACATCCGGCCGTTGGTCAGACGACTCGTTTGCCAATTTTATGAAAAAAAAAATCATTTTGATACAGACAAAAAAAAACACCTCATCATATCACAAAAACTTTGCAGTTGATGCTTTTCCATTAAGCAAATTTATTTTCATAAATCTATCATAAATGTCATTCTGCACATCTGAATCAAAAAGCTAAATTAGCTTCACAGCATCCAATCAGATTCTACAAATTAGCTAATCATTTGATCCAAGTGCGTTGAAGGTCAATCTGAAATGTGCTGGATTTTGACTCAAACTGTAGATTATAGATTATATTACATCATTTTTAGTTGGTGTTTAGTCAACTTCTTACTAAATAAGTATTTTATTGCTCTTGATTATATTTAAGGATCTCACTGTAAAGGGAGAATATTTCAACTACATTTTATTTGGAAAAATGTTGATAATCATGCATCTTTTTTTTTACTTATTTTATCACATCATATTCAGCGAAATAAAATGATAGAAGTTTGATTTTTGTACTGAGACAAAATGTGGAACAGATCAAATGGTATTTGTTAGACTGTGGAGCCATCACACAAACAAAATTTTTATTTGTGATTTTTTTCCTTTGAAGGATCCCAAACTAGCTTGTTTTTTTGTTTCACACTTCTATAATCTGAAAGCCATTAAATAAAATGCATGCTTTTCTTTTCAGGCAGCAGTGAATTTTCAAGTAGGCTGTTTAAAGTAGCAAGAACATTTTTTCAGTGCACAGAAACTCATTTTAGTGTTTAGATTTCTAACCAATGCTTTTTAGTGTTTCTCAAAAGAAAAGCTGTTGTGAAGTCAATGCCCAGCTGTATAAACGCTGTAAATAGCTGTTCCTGGCATCCTTTGTTACGACTTGGTTTCTTCTTTTCTGTATTGTGAAGAAAGTTAATCAGAAAATAGTTTCTGCTCTCGGCTGGTTCAGTCAGCCGGGCAGCGTCGGTGTTTCTAGTGGGCTGCCGGCAAACGGATGTCTCTGTGAAGCACATAAACTCTTCATTTTCACATCATTCTCTGCTGGACAAAGTTTGATATTTGTCTGATTTCACTGCGTGGCGCAGCCCCCATCTGGATGACGGGGTGAGCCTGGATGTTCAGGTTCTCACTTTCTTCAGCTTTGACAAACCTTTTGGGTTTTGAACATATCTCTTTGGGGTTCTGTTAGGTTTCCCAATATTTAAAGTTGATCTGATCTCCGTTTTGGTATGTTTTCTGGTGAAAACTGTCTTACATGTCGTGGTCAAATATTTTCCCAAAACTCGCTTCGGTGGAAGAAAATGTGTTTAAAAACAAAGTCTGAAACATTGTGCCTCATCTCCCTCTGAGCCTGTTTTTATCTTTTTTTTTTCCTCTGTAAAAATGATTTTCTGTGGGACATACAGTGTGAGAATGCATTTTAATTGCATTGGGAAATGTGTGAGTGTAAGATATGCATTTATTTCTTTGTCTTGCTTTTTTTTTTTTTTTTTTTTTGTCAACTTAGTTTTATAAGACTATAAAAAGGCTGAAAATCAGCCTCCACATCTGAAAAATATGGTTGTGTCTCTTCCTCTGTTACTGTGTGAAATTAAATAAATTAGTAATCTAAAACAAAATTTAAATACAGGGACCATTACTTATTTGGTTATTCATAAACAATAAATATTCACAGAATATCTTATATCTTGGCACACTGGAATTAAGACGAAACTAACTTAAAAGTAACTTTCAGGATATAAGAGTTTAAGTAAATAATTTATTAATATTGATGGAAAAGTTGGCTAATTATTTCACTTATAACATGGAAAAAATGTCTGGTAAGTGAAATAATTTGCCAGTGGAACTTGTAGTTTTTCATATGTTATTGACATAAAACAAACGGACATATCTTGCAGAAAAAATACTTGTGCACTTGAGTTTTCTTATCTGGAGTGCACAGGATCAAAAGTAATTGACCTAATTTGTTCTTTAACCTGCATTTTTATTACATTTAACAAATAAATGAAAAAAAAAACATTTATTACATTCCACAAATGTAATGAATGTTTTTATTTATTATTTTATTTAGTTGTATTAACTGATACTAAATATTCATATTTCTAAATATGTTCACCAGAGACTTTAATAGCCTGTTGTAGTTTTATATTTGTTGTTTTTGTCTAACTTTTTGGTGGAAATCTTTCCAAGTGCAACATTCAGATTGAGAAAATGAATGTATGAGCTCAGTTTTTGTTTGCTTGGTGCTGAGATGTTCGTTTCTGTGGGATAATGTTTGTGGGAGTAATTTTTGTGTTGTATGTAATACCCCAGTTTAGCCACTAGGTGTAACATTTGTGCTGGGGATTGTTTCCTGTATAAAAGGTAGAACCTGTTCATCAGCTGTCAGGTGTGTTCAGTCCAAAGTCAAAGCCTTTTGACTGAACTTAAGAAGTTTAACTTTCATCCTGTTTATTTTATGTTGATTTGGGGCAACAAGAAGTAAATACGACGGCATATTTAGGCTGATGTAGACGGGGTAAAAAGAAGGGTAAATTTACATCAGTAAAAATGTTTCAGTGTTGTTCTTTCGTCCAATCCCCTCAGTGATGGTCTCTCTAAACACAATAAAAGGTTCTGCGTTTTATACAATGAAAAGTCCAAACAGATTATGACACTTGCAAAAAATGCAAAAATTACTCCTACAGCATTAAATTAGACACCAAACTCAGGTGGATATGACATTTTTAAAATATATTTAAAAAAACATAAATGAAGACCCGAAGCTGTGTGTGATTCTGTTTTGTTTGCTTTGTTTTTTAAAATAAATTTAACCGTTTGTTGTTATTTGTAATCCGAGGCTTCAGTTGAGCAATCTGATGTTAAAGTTTTTCTTCTCAGTTCGACTAATGTTGCTCTCATATTTTTCTGGATGACTTTTATATTTTAAATCCCATTTTTGGAAGCAGACTGATGTGAAACTCCCTGGAATGTGGCTTTTTTGATATTCATATTTTGAATAACTTTGTATATGAAATAATAAGCAAATTCATCCAGCATGTCCCATGAATAAACTGCAATAAAACCATGTAGAGCAAAGAGACGCATGAGACTGAAGGTTTTGCTGCAGCAGAAATCCTTTGATGGTGGTTGAAATTTTCAACAAAGCTACTTTGTTTGTTGACAGAGTTTATTTTCTGTGTTGCACAACCAGAATATGAAAACAGAAAAATAAAATGTGGATGTGAAATGGAAAGTTTTTCTGTTTTTTGTTTTTGTTTTTTCAGACAACTGCAGTTCTTGTCAGATGTTTCCATCAAAATGGGAGCAACTATCTGCCAAAAATCTCAGAAAATTGGAGATTCGTCTCAAAAAACAATACATTTTCTGAGTTTGAAAAGTTGAACAATTGCTTGAAAAACTCAGAAATCTTTAAAATGTTAGAGAAAAGAACTTCTATGTTCACCAGAAAAGTGAACACTGAACATTTTCTGGTGAACATTTGATCTTTTTTGTTTTTAAACGTCCTGACACACTGTCATATCTGTTATCTGATGCCTTCCTGTGAGTTGGACACTTTAGCATGAAATATTTTGCAACATTCAGTTTTAAATGCAGAGTTGCAATTCATATCTTGCTACTAGTATTTTACCAGTGCAGCTGCTTCTTCAGTGTAGTAGCAAAGACACGTCATGAGTAAAATACATAAGCATCACAAGACTCAACGCTTCACAAAATGTGCTCAAATTTTACATGCAAAATGCATTTCTACATAAAAATAGCTGTGTTTCTATTACAAATGTGCATAAAACTTCATTGTTCCACTGATAGAAAAAGAAAAACACAATTTTGCATCACCATCCTCCAACTATCTCCTGTCGTCTTCGACTGTCCTACGATTGTGACGCCTGGTTGTTGATCATGTGACTTGTGTGATGCAAAAAAAATCATTTCAGTTTTTCAAAGTAAACTAATGTCAGCACAGCTTGCAACTTTTGATCTAGTGAAAAACTAAAGTTTTTTTTTCAAAATTGCCATGTTTCCAATTCATCAAATTAACTTTTGTCATTTCATTTTACACAATTTGACATTTAGAAAATTGTCAAATATTAGAAAAAAAACCCTTTTGCTAAAACGTTTTAACGTTCGGATGAAGTGCTTTCTTTGGCCGATCAAAATTGGTTTATTTCACAAAACTATTTCCTGTCATCACATGACCAACAACTAAATATTACTACTGGCAAAAACCCTGAAGAAAAAGGTTACAGGAAGTAGTTTGAGGATGATGGGACGACGTTTTTTAACGACTTATTGCGTGAACAAACTTATTCATGTGATTTTTTTTTTATTGCATTTCTTATTTAATGTAACAAACTAATTGTGAAGTTTTGTTTTATTAGATATCAGAATCGGGAAAGTTTTGCACCCATTTGTAATTGAAACGCTGCTAGCGTGACAGCAGCTTTACAAATTCAATTGTGCAAAAAAAAAATCCTTCACTTTTCATAAACCTGTCTGCATATCAAAGACTTTCCCTCTGGTAGTGGATGAATCAGTTGGGGACAGATGGGTCCCTAAGGTCACAGTCACAATGCATTCCTGGAGTTTCACTGCAGAGTCAGCTGGGAGAGATTTACCCCCTTTGCCTTTTCATTTCCTGGCAGGTAAACCATCAGCTTGGTTGGATGAAATCGTTTCCTACTGTCCTCAAATGCTGCACGATACCAGCAGCTCCAGCTCTGCCCGCCTGGCAGGAACTAATGTGTGAGAAACACTGGCTTCTCGTCGTAATCCGCCTCATCTGCTGCCATCTCTCCAACCCTCCCTCTCCATTTAAAGGGTCCGGACGTCTGGCCGGTTCTGTAGTGGCAGCTCAGTTTGGGGTCATGTAGCAGGCTCCACATGAGCCAGATCTGTGGGACGCCCAGGCTGTGAACAACCATGAGCTCCCTGTAAAAGCAGGGGTCAAACGTCTGGAGGTGCGGCGCCGCGGACGGTCGGTGAATCCCGAAGGTGCGAAACCCCTGATGGCGTAAAGGTTTGACGCCGATCAGCTGGAGGCACATTCCTAGAAAAACATCATCAATCGGGAACAGCTCCACCTAGGAGAAGTTTTATAAATCAGTCACAAACTCATAAAATAGAACATTTGTGGTAAAAGATGGAGAAGTCTTCTTTAATAAGTGGAGGCCAGAACTTAGCAGACAAAAATCTCACTATCTAAGAGTGATTTCGTCCAAAAAAAAGGAAATGTACTGAACATTTGTGTCGCCCACCTGTTCAAGGAAGCATAATGAGGCAGGCCGTTTCTAAAACCTGTTTACCTCAGCCAGAGTTTTAATCTTTAGCTTACCTGTTGACAGGCGGAGCTCAGCCTTCGAGCCGTGTGTCCTGACATCACAAACCCTCCTCCTCCAGCATAACTGGGGTACAGACCGCCTCCATACACAAACTCCGGAACGTAGTACTTGGAAGTGCGACGGCGGATTGGTTTTGCATTCACAATAATATCCCCCACGAACAAATCCTTCTCCGGCTCTCGGCCTTGGAGCATCTCCAGGATGTTTTCCACGTTTACGTAGACGTCAGCGTCTCCTTTGAAGATGAACCTGATGGAGAGCAGAAGGATATTACTGCCTGCATTCCCATCACAAATTTGTGCAAAACATTATCAATATGTTTCCATTAAAGAAGAAATGCAATTATAATCACACTTGAATAAGTTTGTTCAAGTGATAAATCGTTAAAAAAGCAAGGCACATTCTGTTGCCACTGGTCTAAACCACAAAGAAAAAACAAGTAGTTGGAAGATGATGGAGGTTTTTTTTTATTTCCATTGAGCATTTTGAAAATGTCAGATTGAGTAGTTACATAGTCAATGGAATTGCAGCTGATTATAGCTTCAGATGAGGCTAAAATAATAATCATTTAAGACTTTTTCATTCACACTAACTTCACATGAGGACAGCTGCTGTTAACCCATTCCAGAAAATGTGTTTCCTTCAGAGTCAGGTTGAAGAAGGTGTCCTCGAAATCCCAGAGCAGGACGTCCTGGAAGGCTTGGCTCTCGTAGGCCAGCAGCCGATCCCACAGAGGCAGGGAGGAGCGATTCCTGGGAATCCCCAGCAGGAACACGGTGCGAATGGACCGGGCCGGGTGGAACGTCCCCTCCCTCCCCCAGGTCCGACGCACAACCTGGAGCAACGGCGTGAGGAGAAAAATAAATAGCTACAAAAGAAATGTGATTAATAGATTTAAAGCAGCAGCTGTCATAAAAGATATTTTTCTTACATGTTTCTGTTAAAGTTATCATTACATAGTGACAGATGAGCAGGGCCGATCCAAGGCTAGAAGTGATTTGTTTTTACAATAATATATATCTGATATGTGTAGAAATAATTTATGGACAAAAAGAATTGCTCTTGGGGCCCCCTGGTGGCAGCGGTAGGTAAGCGCATCCAAAGGTCCAAAGCTCTGGTAGAAGATAAGTTAGCAAAACAATGTCTCAAAAACGGACTAGTACTTTTAAATCAATATTGAGGAATTATTTTCTTAAATCAAGCTCCTATATCTTACTGAAAAGTTAATTATGGTAAAAATTTTGCTACCTGCCGCTTGTCGAAATCTGCAGCTGTAGATTTCACAGCAATGAGCATGTAGGGAGCAGAAACAGTGCCTCCTCTTCCTCCTCCTTCCTCTTCTTCTCTGATGCGACATTTCTCAGGCTGGTCGATGAGCAGATTAAAGTTCCTTTTGTCCTTTTCTCTCAGATATGTCTCGAAGTCAAACGGCGGTAGCGTCGGTAACTGTTTTCCAGCAGCAACGGTTGGAATAACTTTCTTCTTTCGTGACCTGGATCTGATCTGAGAGCTGGATTTGGACTGGGAAGGTTTGGACCTGAGTCGAGGTTTACAGGAAGGCAGGTGTGGCTGTAATGGGGCCTGGATTTAAAAAAGGAAGAAAAATAGAACAACAAATGATGAAAGATTCATCTTTTTGACTCAAGGTTTAATTATGAAAATTTCTGCCTTTGCTTTTAAGATAATTATCCCAGAAGGAAAAATCTGTTTTGGTTTGTAGTTATAGTTGGAGAGAAGCGTCATGTTCAGAGATTGGTAGAGCAGCAAAAAATTAAACTCAGGTTTATTTTTATTATGACTCAAAATGAATGAATGAATGAATGAATGAATGAATGAATGAATGAATGAATGAATGAATGAGTGTGTGTGTGCGCGTGCATGTGTCAGTTCCTGCCTGCAGCGCCTCCTTCCTCCCAGTATGTGAACTGGAGCCCAGCAGGGAGCGACTGGAGCTGGTGGATCCGTGGATCTGCAGCTTCCAGACGGATCGGCTCCACCCAGCGGAGAGGACGACCTGGAAACACCGCCGGGTCAAAACTAACACGGGGGAACGCTTTCTCCTCAAAACACCGCCACTTTTCTGTTCCTCTTCACCTGACGAGCGTAGAGCAGAACACACAGCGCCACCAGGAGGACGAGTGTGCACATTACATCTCCCTTCACATGGAGGACCCTCCTCATCATCACCACCTTCCTCAGCATTTTCTCAGCTCTGCTGCATCTTTAGTCAGCTGGATGAACTCTGACCTGAAACACAAACACACTGAACTTTGCTAGTGACCACACCAACATAAAGACAAAAAAAAAACAACAACGTAGCTTAGCATAAATCAAAATTAATAAAAATATGCACCTGTTTTCCTCTCTCTGCTTTTTCTGCATCACTGAGGATTTGTTCCAGCAGAACAGACGTGTGGAGTCGGCCATGTTAGTCTGCAAACATCACAGGTCTCTCCACCCTCCCGCATCACTGTATTTAAAACTCTTTAAAAAAAACCACCAAAAGCAGCACCATATTGTTTCAGTATAAAATCAGTTAAAAATGGCAGATTTTATATCATAACCTCTTATTTTCTTCAACTATTCCTTTTCTCTAACATTATTTTAATTTCTCCTGAAAAGAAAAGCTAAACTGCTCTGAAAATGTAAGAAAGGTTTTTTACAACAAAAAAAAAAAACGTTTTATTATTTTGGATCGGATGAAAATGTGTTTTATCTACATAGTGAGAACATTCAAATAAAAACAGTAGAACAAACATGCTGAAAGAATCCAAAAACCATCAGTAACTGCGGAAATGTGCTGCTTTTCTTCTCTTTCCTTCGTTTTAAACAAATGTAACATTTCTTTGCCAGTGCAGAGTCATTACTCACTCCTGAATTTCCCCTCAGTCACTCAGATCTCTGCAGTTCAGCTGAATCTTGCTCTGTTTTGTCCTGATGAATTCAATGTTTTCCTGGATGATTTCTTTTCCAGTGTTTCAGTTGACATCTCTCTTGTTTGCCTCAAGATTTAAGACAATCAGCCTTTTCTATAGAGCAGTAAATGGCTCATATTTCATCTTTGTTTTAAGTTATTTTTAGACGTGTTTTACTTTTTTTCCTGCAATGCAAATTGCAAAATAAATTCTGAATTCCCATTTTTCTGGTTTGAACTGATGAGGTTTAGCGTTTACTTCGCTATACAAAAAAAACTTGACTAATTTTACTAAGGTTAAGAAAAATCGGAAATGCCAGACTTTTCTCCGCAGTTCATAAGAAGCACAGAATAAAAAGCAATAAGTTACATAACTGTCAACTTTGTAAACAATGAACAGCGCCAGAAAATCGTTTTTGTTGAAACTGTTAAGGGGAATCCAGGAAAAGAGTTACATTATAAAAAATAAGAACATAGCAGGTAAGCTACTAATCGACAACTTATGATTTTCCTAAAGCAGAAGAAAATTCACGCATGAAGCAAATATTTTAATGCGTTAAATAACCGCAAAACATCCAGACTCACCAGAGAAAACATGTCATCTGTTCCTGCTCCACATCCTCAAAGCATAAACACAAAGTCTGACTCAGACATTCTGCAAACACAAAGGTTTCTGCAGAACCGAACCTGAAATCTCTGGTTCTGTCTGAGCTGGTGCTGCGCTCATGAAGCGTTCACGTGCATTAGGGAAATATTAGCTTTGAACGACGTTGAACATTTTGATGGAACGGATCCTAAAAAATGTTCTGCCTCAACAATTCTGCGCAACAAAATGAACCCAAATCCGGAAATCAGTCCAATAAGAGACCGCATTTTGTTTTTCATGCGTCTGAACGCAACATGACACGTTTGGACTATTAAACGGTTAATATTTCCAGGGGGCGTGGCGACATGGAGAATCACTGAGCAGAAACTAAAGAGAGAATATCTTCTTCACTAAACAGCAGCTCTACTGTTTGTCAGTGCTGTAAGTTTTTTTTTTTAAAGAGTGAGATAACAGTCAACATCACAGGTTCTTGAAGGCAGCATCGTCATTCCTTGCTTCGACCATGTGGTTCAAATTTCAGCGGAACAAGTCCAGATGCCAAGTCAGCAAGAAATAAACCCAGAGCGTGGCTTCAGCTGGTCTGCTGCACATCTCCTCCTGCAGAGGAAGCAACATGGATGAAACAGACGAGGAACAAAAACGGATCTTCATTTTAAGCCCCTGAATTCCTGACAGTATCATTAAGCAGCCACACTATCTATCAATCTTTTCAAGTTGTTCTGATCAACAGTTCTCCGAGAAAAATGTTTTTCTCATTAATTTTCATGTTCATGACCATGTTCATCAATTAACTAATTACCACAGAAAAATGAAAGACAAAGCAAGTGTCAGAACGGATGACGGTAATACCTTATTGGTGCATCATCTTCCTTCAGCTCATTAGGGCCTGTTAGGGACCAGAGAACACAATAACTGCTCCATAGATTAAGTTTTGTTTTCAATTGTTTGATAAGATTGACTGTTGCAATGAAGAAAAAAAAAATCCTGCCATCTCCGATCCTTACATTCAAACTGTGCTTGTTTTATTTTCTAAGCTCTGTGCAATAACATAAAACTGAAGGAAAAATTAGGAGCTGAAACACTATCAACAGACTTTTGCACAGGATTCTCTCCACTTTCATAAATGACGCTCAAGTTTAGAATAATTAAAATTATTATTCTAAATGACAAAAACATCTGAAACATTAATACATTTTAATAAGAACGCTGCAGCAATCACAAAAACAATCTACAAAAGGTAAACAAGATATACACACGATCACACTCTTTCCAATAGAAACATCACACAATTTCCTTTGGCTAAAAAAAAAAAGACAATGACTGGGAGAGCTACCCGCTCCGACCCAACAGCTGCGCGCCTCACTGCAGCTGGACCCAATGAACAGAGACCACATCCAGCATAGTCGTTTGGTGAAAACGTTCTGATGGCTCTGTCACGAAGCTTCAATGTTTTGTGCACCATCACCTAAAACGGCGCTAAAAGACAGAACTGTGAGCCCGGTTAGACTGTGGAAAGCTATGCTGAACTACATCAGGGCTTTCTAACCAGCCACACAGCTAAACTGCAGCTCTAAGTTTGTTCTCTGTTCCCCCGAGGTGCTGCCTCGTTACATTTAAGGCTGAGTGAATGTTTGTCCCAAACGCCTACAATCTTTTGCACATGTTATGTGTTTTCCTTTCCTTTCTAGCACTCATCAACATCCAGCTAGCTGGCTGATTCCTGCACTCTGTCCTCAAGAAGAAGCCGTGCCGGCCCTCATGATCCTGAAGAGCGCGTTGATGTTGTTGCTCTTGATGGCGTCTCGGCAGGCGGCGATCACCTGGTTCTTGGGTTTACCCACTGGGCAGGAACAAGAAGAGTTTCAAAAATATATTTAAAAAATGTGACAACTGTAAGCAGATTATTATCCAAACTGTGTCTGTTAACATACTAGCTAATGTAATCCAAACCAGGTTGTCTGGAAAAGATTTTCACTTTTTTTCTATCATGTTTCCAAAACACCAAGCTTCATTTTATTGAGATTTTATATGAGAAACCAACACAATGTTAGTGCAAAACTGTGAAATAAGAAGGAAGCAATTTAGAGCTCCCAACATATTTAGCCTGAAAAGCGAGGAGTTATAATTTTATACCCTAAAATAAAATGTAAATCAATAAAAACACTGCATTCAGAGGCTTAGTTTGATGACCTTTGCCACATGTCTTCCCTTTCTCAAAATCAGATTTCAAATACCAAATCACAAGAGTCAAAAAAAATTTAAACACAAATCTTCAGATTTTTAACTACAAAAAATGTTGAAACTATAGACAAATTTCTTTCCACTTTTGCACAACTTTGTGTTGAACTAATCATCACACAAAACTTGAACAAATAGAAGTTTGTGGTTCTAATGTGATAAGACGTGAAGAAGTTAAGGGTCTATATTTCTCATGTTGCAGCCCAGCATACCTCGGAGTCGGCCGGCCCGTTGGATAGCCTGGTTGACTGACTTGAGGCGAGCCAGAAGGGCGTTGTGATTGTTAGAGCGGATGGTGTATTCATTGATCAGATCCCTGTTCAGATCAAACAGCTCCCTGTAACGCTTCTTCATTGTTTTCCTACAGACAAAAGCACAACAGTGTTTGCTGAAGGTTATGTTTGCTGATTATTTCAGACAGAAATGAGCACTTCTAATATTAAGATGAACGGTTTTAGCCAAGTTTATACAAAGTTTGGGGTTTGGTGGCTCACATGTCAGCCATGAGGCGAGCGTCCTCTGCCTGGACCAACATGTGTCTGATGTGGTTGGAGTGGTCGGCCATGTCAGCAGTTAACTTCTGATGCACAGAGTGAAACTCGTCCACCTGTGACACAAACATCCACCATTCAGCATTAACATCTCACTGTCTTGTTTAATTTGTTTCAAAAACAGCTGGTAAACAAGTAAAACTAGAACTAACATAAAAAATACTTTTAAAATTAAAACCAAACAATACTGCAGCAGAATCCTCTTGGAGATTTGTCATGTCTGGCTCTACTTTACATCATAGGCGGCTGACACTAGAAACAGCTGAGCCTTTTAGAAAGAATTAGGATTTTTTGTATCTAAAAATGTTTCAAAAAAACCATCTCAGTTTCAGTGAGAACCTCAGTGAGCGTTGTACGAAGCTCCTCAAAGTATGATGGGAAATCTGCTTCCACCGACAGGTCCTCCATCGCCAGGAAAGAGGCGAGGGACTGAACCAGATCGCCCGCAAGATCAATATCATCGGTCCTCAGGGTGATCTCAAGAAAAAAAAAAAAAAAAATCAGGAAAATCTCAATTAGGTGGAAGTTAATAGTGGATTAAATGAACCTAAATAGTGTCACATTCCTAAAATAGGTCTTAGTAATTTTAGTAATAATATGTAGATTCAGTAAAATTGTTGTTTGTGGATGTTGGAATACTGAGCTACTAGTTGTTTAGCACTTAGTGTAGACTGGGGATGTCGAAGTAACCATTCCTTCCCCAGTCTTTTTGATATTTTTTCTAATTAAAAAAGTAGGTTAGTGTTTATTGTTTACCTGTCCGTTACTGGCCATATGAAAAGACATGAGTCCTCCTCCACGGAGGGAATTAAATGTAACATTTGGACTCTCGACCACCTCTGGAAGCAGGAAGTTCTGATTGAGCCACATTACCACCTACATTCACACCAAAACATGAACAGGAAGAGAAAGGAACAGGTTTCATATGAACCCAATCAGAACGGTTCTATATTTCATCCTCTCTCCCACCCTCTGCGGTCGCTCGTTGATGCTGAAGGAAACTGTTCCAGCAGGAGCGGCAGGCGAGTCCTCTGTGATCTCATACATGGAGAAACGCGGCAGCTGCCGAGTGATTTCAAACACGTGGAACTGAGTGCTGCAGAGGGGATTTCAGAAAGCAAAATGTTACAATGAATCATTAAATGACTGAGATTTCCAGCATTTTCTTGACATTATGGAGAGTTTAACTCAGGCTGTTTTACATGTCCCACCTGGTCCTCCCTCCAACAAAGGCCTTGATGTGCAGATCCACTGGTATGTCTTTAGGGGGGATGATGGGGACTCGGACACAGCCCGACAGGTTCTGGACACTTGGATGGACAACGTGACTCTCGCCCTCAAATATTCCCTCAGCAAAGATGAGAACCGCACGGATGATTGTTTCTGGAGAGAAAGCGCCACACAGACAGTAATTTCAGCAGATTTGCAGAGAACACAGATGCTTAACATACATGGAGTGTGAGAAGGAGCAACCATTTGGAGTTGAGATGCTAAGCTCTACATGAGCCTTCTGGGCCTCCGTAGCAGCTCTGACAGACAGCGTTGTCTGCAGCTGAGTGTTGGCTGGTATTACCCCCATCCCACTGTTTGTCTGTGGCACGCCCTGAAACACAAGGTGTGGAAGAAGGTGAGCATAAAGATCTTAAAAAAGCATGATTCTAGTGTAAATCATCATTAGATTGGATTTATTGTCATTGTCCAGAAAATAGTACAATAAAATAAATAGTACAGCTCTTCTTAAACATTTACAAACACTGAAAACACATTAGACCAGACGGCGTGATGTAGAAAAAAATGCTTTCTTGAACAAGTTAGGATCCATGTGCAGCCTCGACAAAACATGTTCATTGCACAAAACCATCTTCAGACAATGAAATCTGCTCAGGTCTGCCTATTTTGAATTCTGTTTTAGGGCGTCTTCTCACTTTAAATCCAAATGATCTGCCGCTCGTTGTGCCCCCCAACTCAAAGTCTTCACTCACACATGAAAATTGTTCAAATTAAAGCACAATAATGCTACTGTGCATTTTTGAAAAGCAGAAGCGGAGCCTCCTGCACAACCAACGGGAATGCAGCAAGTGGATTCTGGTTGGTAAACCAACAACAAAAACACTTGTCTTTTCCACCAGCCATTGTACAACGCATACAGTGAGAAAATCAGCTGCCCAAACAAGCAGGGCTTTGCTGCGTTTGCTAGGTAAGGGCAGTGTTTGCTTGTTTGTGACGTTACATTCTAGAGATTTTTGAAAGATTTTATTTTACAGACACCAAAGAAAAAAAAAACTTATTGCCAAAAACCGGCTGTGTAGTTTTCTTGTGAATTATGAATTTTGCACATATTCAGAATTTGTCCTAAATTATGAATTTTGCACAAATTATTTTGTTGTGTAACAAAATGAGAAAATCTACTGTCAATCTGAGCATGTATCAGAGTCACTGTTAGAAGTTAAAAATGGTTTGTAAATGAAAAAGAACCATGAATACCTTGGCATTTTCTTCATAGTTACGCAGCTCCAGCAGCAGGTTCTGCCTGCGCTGGCTGAGCTCCCGAATGCGATCCTGCTCAGCGTTGGAGTCCATCAGATTCCCTTTCAAGTCCTTACTGGCAGGCAGGTAGCCACGCACTAGAAAATACAAACATGGCCAGATCTCATTATTTCAAAGAGTGACAAATCAAGTTAAAAAAAAAAAAAAGCATTTAGGAGTAACAATATTTAAAATTTAGCAAGAAGGCTTTGAGCAAAAACTGACACAGACTGGACTCACCTTCTCCTTCTATGGAGGTGCAGATGAGTTGTACCTGCCCATCTAACCTGTAGTCTCCCTCCACCACTCCGGCTACAGATGAGGAGAAATTGTCCTTAAAGATGACCTCACCTGTTCGGTCGCTTCGCGCATCGATCTAAAACAAGAGCTGGACGTCAGCAGAGGCTCCAAATAGCTAAGCCCAGGAAACAAAAGCTGGAATTTATGGCATTCCTGCAGAACGGCCACGGACCTTTCCATTGGACCAGCCAGTGATGAGTTCCACAACTCCATCAGCATTCAAGTCAAAGGCATGGATGCTCATTGCATGGTTCTTAGACTGAGGGGGAAGATCAGTGTGTAATTAATTAGTAATAATATACAAACAGGAGTGCAAATTAAAAAGCTTGAGCACCTTAGCAGAGGTGTAGTAAAATACTTTGAAGTAATTACTAACAGCAAAGCTTGACAGGTTTATCTAGCAGATAGACAAAGTTGTAACAGAAGTTAAGTCATTTCCTATGTTGAGTATTTCCACATTCTGACTTCAACTCCAGTATTTAGTGAAGATGTGTCTCTAGACATGCTTTAACATTTAGATTGTATTAATTTTAACTGATTCCTAACTGTTTTTTTCCTTATTTTTTAGATTTTCTATTTCAATTCATAATTATTCTTCTCATTACAAACATCCCAAAGCGTGTTCATTATCAATTCCTGTGCTGTTCCAGTGTTTTTCTTACTGAAGCCCAGTTTACATGTAACTTTGGAGCTTTTGGAGCTTGTTATCTCGTTGTCTTAGTGTTGACAATAAGCAGCAACCCTTTTTCTTTAATATTTTGTTTAGCTTTAAAATTTGGCATGTTATATTCTAAACTTGACAGCTAAAACTAATTGTAGTCATCGTCAGCAGGTTTTTGTCCACTCCTATCCAGGGGTTCAAAAAACAAACTGAGGAGTATTCAGTTGTTTTCTGTTCAAATCTCCGAGCTGCCACAAATTCACACGCCCCTTCATACCTGCATTTGGCCGGTGGTAGGTGCCAATTTCAACCCGTAAAAATGGCAGTTTTAGGATTGGTGTTGCAGATAAAACAACAGATTTCAGATTTCTGTGAATTCCTATACACCTTAATCCTCCAGTAGCGGGCTGCGCGGTCATACACTCCAACTGTGCCATTAGCCAGAGCGTAGCCGAACCTGCTGCCATGCATGTGACACAACGACGTCACTGTCTGTGAAGACAAGAAAAACCCAAATATTCTGAACTGGCATGGAAGATTATTTAGGTATTTCACAAAACCAATAATGCTTTTCTTAACTTTATCATTCAAAACAACGACAACACAACATGTTTATTTACCTCATTTTCATTCAGTTCTGAGATGAGCTGATCCTCTTTGAAAACCCTGATGTCAAAGTCCTCAGAACCAACAAGAAGCTGTCAAATAAGAAAAAACTATTATTGTTTGGTATGAAAGAACCTTTTGAAGAATATGAATTCATAAGAGTTACTACAACATTTAATTTCTTTTTGGGATCAATAAAGTATTTTTGAAGTTAATTTTGAAACAGCACTTCCTTAACATTTTTAACCAGGGCCTGCAGCTCTTCAAAATAAAAGTCTAATACTTAACTGAGCATGGTCCTTTTTGAACAATTTTAACATACAAATCCAAATCACTTCAGATTGCTAAGTTTGATCAGGGATTGTAAACTCTTTGAGTATTCATCATTCAGATTTTGTTCTAATTCTAATGATATTATTATTGTTTCAAATCTCAGACTTACCTCATTTTTTCCATCTCCAGTGAAGTCAAAAAGCACCAAAGACCTGACGTTATCACCAGTTACCTGAGAAAAGGGGAAGTCATAGTTACGACCAAAAGAAATATTGAGGAGTAAGCTATTAGCACATTTTATGAACTTGTTCAGGCAAATAAACAATACATTAAGGCAACAAAAGAAATGTGTGACATGGCATTTATACTATAGTTTTAACAGAGCTGTGCCTCAAGTATTCACATGTGATATAATATTGTTGTTTTCAAAGTCTAAAAGTACTGAGTGACTGTTAAATTACATAATCAGATGGACCAAAATACAAAGTTAAGTGGAAATTTAGATATTTTCAGGGCGAAAATGACAATAATTCATGTACATAACATCAGGCAAAAAAAAAAAAAAAAAAAATTTCCGAATCAAATCTTACTGTCCAAAAGTGGTCGTTCCCTTCATAGTCAAAACCTTGCAAAGCACAATTCCCTCCGATGATGGCAAGAGGAGAGGAGCTGTCTCCCAGTTTTCCCAAAACAATGGCATTAGCTCCATCTGTAACCTGGAACAACACAAAACAATTAAAAAACTATAAACAAACATCACAAAAAAAGAAGTCTGCTCTACATCCAGTGACCCAAAAGATAGTTGTTCCACTTACGTCTCTGTAAAAAACATCTGTATTGTTGTGAACATCATAGGCCAACAGATTGGTCTGCGATCCCACCAGAAGCGTGTCTCCTGTGGTGTTTGGTCCCAGTGTTCCTGCTGTCAAACATGTCACGGCCTGGTTGATGTTGAGAAGAGAGATGTCAGAGTCCTGGGTGCTCTGGCTCAGTCGATGGGTCGCAGGTCTCTGAACGCGATCATGAGGGTTGTGGATGAAAACCTGTAAATGAAGAACAGTTGAGGTTAAAATGAAAATCTTTTTTTTTATGTTCCTTCAGCAACTTTGACACTTGCTGAGCAGTTATGCTTCATGTTCCCCTCACCTTGCCTGCTTGCGTCGCTGCTGTTAGACATGGGTGCACTCCATCAAACTTTCCAACAGCCACCATGCGGGGGTTGATCTTGTGGTTCAGCTTCAGTGTGAAGATGGGGACCATCGTGACGGGGCCTCCTTGTCCTTAAACAGTGAAACTTAATGTTGACACATAACTGTCAAACTACTGGCACGTAGGGCGTGTCTGCGCGTATGTAACCAGCTGGCAATGCGGTTTTTTTGCGTCTCTAATGTAATTACAGGCTTTACCTCAGCCAGACAGCGGCGACTTCTGTTGCCTAGCAACAGCGACTAGCACGCTAAAGCTGTTCATCTGGCTAATCTCTCTCCGATTTGCGGTGCAAGAGCACAGATTTTACAACAAAATCAGTTCCTTCACTGGTTAACATGTGATTACTGATGTCAAATAATTAGAATGCAATAAGGGAATTTTAAAAATTACATAAAACTCAGAAATTTTGACGATAAAACTAAAAAGTAGGCTAATCATGTCAAGTCAGTTCTTTCTTTTCCAAACTCATACCAGGAACATAATACTAAAAAAAACAACAAAATCTTGTAAAAAATCATACCAGGTTGTGTAATCGCTGCCCTGAGCCCCTTCTCAGCTGTTAACTGTCGGGGTTTGGTGGACTGAAGTCGGCTAACCAATAGCTACATAGTTCGGCGTAACGTTTACAGGCTAACTTCCGGTAGTTTCTTTTCAAAATAAAACATGACAAAAATAAAATTACAAAATATTTCAAAATCTTTTCTCAGAAAGAAAATTAATTTTGTAAGAAGAAAAAGAAAGAGAGAAAAAAGACAGAAAGAAAATAAAATATTTTTTGGAACAACTATTGAAGGAATTACGAAGATGATAATGCAAAAAGATCAGACTCCATCCATTTTCTCTGCATCCTACAGACACCCATCTCTCGTGTCGGGAGAGAGACAGACCCTGGACATGTCGCCAGTCTGTTGCACAGATTGAAGCTATTGAGGCGCATAAAAAAACTTTTTACAGTAAAACCAAAACAAGGGCTCGTCCGGGATTTGAACCCGGGACCTCTCGCACCCAAAGCGAGAATCATACCCCTAGACCAACGAGCCATCTGGAAGAGACTCGCCATGATGTCTCTATTTGAAAGCACACACAACGCCTCACCTGACGCTACACACAGATTTTCGTTTTGACATTATCACTCTGCAAGTGCTATCAAACCTTACTTTGAAAATGACTCAACAAAAATTATTGTATGTGTCACTATTGTATCTCGGTTTGATCAAATAAAGCCTGTCCTGAAACGCCTGCCTACAAGTCCGCGCTCAGGTAAAATTTATCCCAGCTCATGCTAAATAGCATTAGCATCCGACCAGACCTGGAGTCTGACTATGGCGACTGAAGCGAAGCGAGTCAAGGTTGTAACATTGTTCTGATTTAACACATACATAAAATGTGATACGAATCAACAGATTCGCTTTGTATGAAAATGCAGCGCTCATCTTGAGTTTTATGCTAACTGTTAACTAATGGAGTTCATTAAAATGTTTGTTGTCATAAAGTCTTGAAGTCCACGAGGGAGGCTGCTTCTGTTGGTGTAGACACGTGGGTTTAAGAGCGTAAAAACAGTGCGGGATATCGGAACATGATTGATTTTGTTTGATGCAGGTGGTTGATGCTTCACAGCGCCTGCAGGATTTCCTCCAGTGGTCCGACAGAGTCGGTTTGGTCCTCAGTGAAAAGGTTTGTTATTACACTCTGCACTCTGACATCCAGCCAGGATGCAGATAAACATGCAGTTTCCTCAATTTTACTGGAACGAAGAGGTTTTCAGCAGCGGCTGTAAAACGAAAGGATGGATATGTGGAACATTATCTCAGTTTAACTCTGTCATGCTGTGGGCCTGTTTCTCTTTCAAGGCCCTAGGAATCATTGAGTCTATAAAATAAGTGGATGTTTTTAGTAAAAATCAGGTAGAATCTCTCAGAAAACTAGTGATGTGTATTTATTTGGTCTCTCAGCAGAATAGTGATCCAAATAAATTCTGTCATGGCGGCCATCACAGTTTCTGCGCCTAAATCCAATAGAAAACATCAATTCATTTTAAAAATACTTAATTGATTCCAAAGGGAAAATAAATGTTGTAACATATTTATAAATAATTCTTCATAGATATTATTAGAAATGGTGATAGTTGTGTGCAGGAAAGCTTTCCTGTAGCAGACTGTATTACAGAAAATGTGAAAAAGCCTCTGACTAAAGACATTGTTTTTTTTGTTTGTTTTTTTAAAGACAGTCTCATGAAAGACTTTAAAGTGTCTCATTTTAAGATCCTGTTCTCCTGCCGATGTGTCTGTGAAATTGATCCCAGGTTTTTGTCTGCAGGTGTGCCTGAGCTCAGAGGGAACAGTGGCAGATTATGGGATGCTGGCGAAGGAAGACATAGAGGAAGGAGAGATTTTGTTCACCATCCCCAGATCTGCTCTTCTACACCAGGAAACAACAAAGGTTTCTGCTTTGTTGAAGAAAGGTGATTCTACTGAATTTGAGTTTTATAACATCAAAACTTCCAGATTCTATCAACTCCCAAATGTTTTTTGTTTCTGTTTCCACAGAGAAGTCGTCCCTGGAGAGCTCTTCTGGTTGGGTTCCCCTGCTGCTGGCTCTGCTTTATGAGTCCACGTCTCCTGGCTCCCACTGGAGGCCTTACCTCTCCCTGTGGCCTGGCTTCAAAGCGTTGGATCATCCCATGTTCTGGTAGGCTTCACCTACCCTCCTTAAAGGGGACCTACTATGCAAAATCCACATTTTGCAAATTTTTATACTTCCATTTGGGTCTCAACTGCTTCTAAAAACAGGCAAAATGCTTTAAGCACTTTTTGGTGTCTGGAAAATGAACCGTTTCAAAAACCTTTTGATTTTTAAGTCTTATTTGACAGCCACTGTGCTGTTATCTAGCAACCCAAGAGTAGGTGCAGGACATTTTGCTCAGCACAGTTACAGCTTTATTATTTCCTCAGGTCTAAAGAGGAACGAGACAAACTGCTGAAGGGAACAGGCGTCCCAGAGGCGGTGGAGACAGACTTATCCAACATCCAGAGGGAGTACACAGATATAGTCCTGCCTTTCATAATGAGACATCCGGAGCTGTGGAACCTCAACACACACACCCTGGAGCTGTACACCCAGCTGGTGGCCTTCGTCATGGCGTACAGGTCAGCACGCACAGACCCAACATCTTCACCTTTTTAACATTCATTGTCTTTGTATTTCTGAGCCCGTTTCATTTCTGCTTTGACTGAAGCTTCCAGGAGCCGCAGGAGGAAGACGATGATGAAGATGATGAAGAGCAGAGGGCCCCCAACCCTCCTATGATGGTTCCCATGGCAGACATGCTGAACCACGTATCGAAGCACAACGCTAACCTGGAGTTCAATCCGGTAAGGAGGCGATTCGATTTTATCTCATTTACAAACCTCATTAATTTAAAACTGTTTTCATCAACACTTAGTGCATGGGGGACAATCATGCACACATTCATGCAATATGTGAATGCATATTGCTGGAAAAGTGATCCAACTCAAATGTAACTCTTTGTACTAGGGCTAAATGAAATGGAATACATTTCCCCCAGACAAATCTCAGATATTTATAGAAAAACTTGGACATTTCTGAGTTTGAAAAATGGAAAACTGAATCCTTGTTTTCAGGACAGCCTGAAGATGGTTTCTGTGCGCCGCTTGCGTAAAGGCGAGGAGGTCTTTAACACGTACGGACAGATGGCCAATTGGCAGTTGCTGCACATGTATGGTTTCACGGAGCCGTATCCTGAGAACAGCAACGACACGGCGGACATTCCTATCGCCTGCCTCTACCAAGCCGCAGCGCAAGGTAACGCTGGAAACCTTAAAAAGATAAGATTTTAATCTTCATGCTTTGATTTCCAGAAAAATTACATTTCAAACTGGCTTGATGCTAAAGTAAAAGTATATACAACAACTTTACTTATTTGTGTGTATGAAAAATAGTGTCTCTTTGGACACAAATTGCAAAAAGAGTTAACTGAACTGAACAGAAACTGAATGGCCATCTGTTAAGAGGTAATTTTTGCTTTGAATGCTGATTTTGTAAAATCTGTAAAAGACCTGGCTGCAAATTTAAAGGCAGGTATTTTACTGACATGCCTGTTTTTCTGCTAAGCAATGTTGCAGATCAGGACAGAATAAAGACAACCATTTTAAATAAACAAAGGCTTTTTATGAATTAGGACCAGAAAGTTAATTCTTAAATAAAATGCATTAAAGTATGTAAGTCTGTTTCCTCCAGTCAATAAAAGAAGTATTTACTTTGTAAAATGACCGATTTGCTTTTCGATCATGTGATGAAAAGGGCTCGTCCGGGATTTGAACCCGGGACCTCTCGCACCCTAAGCGAGAATCATACCCCTAGACCAACGAGCCTCCTCTGACAGATGCTGACATCTGGAGTATTCTTCCAAGTAAAGGTGTTCAGTCTGCTGATGTGGCAGGTCAGGATTCAGGAGTCCAGCAGTGCCCTCTAGCGGTGGATTTGTCAAACTGCAAACATGGCTTCTTTTCAGGCATTTTCCAGAGGTTGAAAGGTTAAAGGTTTGGTGTTGTGAGGAGAAATTTGAGTTCTTTTTATTCAGCAGAGCTGAGAGCAACTTCTGTCTAAAAGCAACGGGAAATCCGGGAGATTTCTCAGGCGATTTATAATGGAGGTGCAGAAAAAAATAGATTTGTGGGATTTCTGAATCAATTCAAAATCCTAAAAAATAGATTTCAAAAATATGTTTAAGTTGTATATTTTTGCCGCTTCTATTTGCAGGTACACTGCATAATAATTCTTTGATATTCTTTGATTTAAGAAATAGCCAGGCAGCTATATTAACCTAATACTGGTAATGTAAGTTACAGAAATTTATTCAAAACCTATTTGTTTAAATATAAATTGATTGAATTTGACACAGTATTTAGCCTGACATTATTATTTTAAGTAGTTTCTCTTTTTCTTCTTCTCTCCTCGCAGACATTGAGTCTGAGCCGGAGCGTCAGCTTTTTGATGAGCGCTTCAAGGTTTTGTCCCAGATGATGGAGGAGAACGCAGCGTTTGTGTTCAGTAATCAGGGCTGCCTCACAGACTCCGAGCTACACTCTGCACTCAAGGTAACAGTGCAAAACATCCCAGCTGCTTTCCCTCCAACACGAGATAAAAACTTTACATTCAGACCAAACGTGTCAAACTCGTAATCTGAGGGCCAAACTGGCCCTCCGTAGCTTTTTATGTGGCCTTGTAGACTCTAGAGGGATTAAATAAGTGTTCAAATATTATTGTACCAATCAAATCAAGGTAGATTTGATCTCTTCACTGCCAAATTGTATCAGTCTCTCCAGTTTTTCCAAATTTCACAAACAGAAAATTATCAGATTGACACACTTTTTTTGCAATGTCATGCTTAACGATGAGTTTACTGCAAATTTTAAACATAATGATCAAAAACATGTTTATGTGATGCTAACTCCCACCTGCAGGTGGCGGTAGTTCTTACTTCTGCTGCAATGCTTCCTCAGCTTTATTTGATGTCGATTAGTAGTCTGTTACCGAACAAAAAGTCTCATTTACCGTCATACATAAGCACAAATATAGCGAAACGTCTTTCCAAATGTTCCT